TGGACAGCCCTTCGGTGCACTTTTGCTAGCGCAGCAGCGAGGTGGGGAGTACAAGAGGATTGCTTCGGATAACAATATCATCGCGCAAGTCAAGGACCTGACTGCTGTTGGTAACATGATGGATGCCAGGATGCTAGAGATGTTGTAACTGTACGTTTCCGAAGGAGGGAGATCTCTGACTTGTTTTCATTCACACTTTGGCAGTACTAGTGCCGCATTTGTATCATATCATATGTTAGCTCACAACATGAAAGCAAACCACCACATTTGCATACTCGATTCGTTGCTGAGTACTGGCTGAGAAGGTCCCTACCGCCCAAGTATCATATCAGTGATGTCCGGTATTCATTGCGGTCGTCGTCGCTTGGTCTGGTCGTCTCTATAGGAACCCTATGCCAGTCTAGCTTTGGAATTTGTTCTGAAGCTCACGAATTGATGGAAGCTCAGCCAATGTACCCCCGCGAAATGCATGTTTAGCACAGATGCTAATGAACCCGGTTATTCCAGGACGAGTTGCCCAATGCCCATGACGTAGAGGATTATATGAGCAAGGGTGCCAGGGTCAGGCCAGTTCCGAGTTCAGGGACATCGCAAGTTTTGTGTAGGTGGCCAATGGCCATCATCCAAGATACAGACGGTTTCAGCCTCTCGTCCTCTCTAGACAGCAGTACTTGTTGTCCGATTCGTCAAGCAAGTACAGGATTAATGCATTACTCAGCTAGTGCCTTCGTTCTCTCCCAAAGGACCATAACAATGCGCAGCACTGACGCGACACGGTTAGACCGACGCGGACGACCGACAGCACAGGAGGCGTCAGAAGCACAGAGAGATAAATTTTGCTCAGCTGCGTTAAGCCATACCATTGGCTCGAGACATCTTGCTCTTCGTCTCCTGTCATCGAACCTGCATGCAAAATGAACACTAAAAATGGTCAGTATTATATATGCGTGTGTCTCATGATATCTTGTCATTATAGACTTCATTTTTCGATAGTAAATTCCTTTTTTCACACTATTGCCCATTGACTTACATATGTAGCTTGAACTTCGGAGTCGCGACGTTGATCTAACTTCTAAGCCGCATGTGTCTTTGACACTTCTCGCACTTGAAAAGAGCTAGGTCTGTGTGCCATTGCACCCTCTTCGAAAAATCACTTCGCCTCATTCCCCCATCTTACCATGCACCCACACGTGTCCAGAGTTGGTCCAGAGGAAAAGTGATATCAATTAGATTTCAACTACATCACTCATCAATAGTAATTTCCTTTTTAGCACTCACATCCCCGTCTCGTCAACTTGAACACTCTTCATCTACAACGCCAAGGTAGGTATACCGTTGTCCCTGCTGACGTCCTCTCACAATAATTTTCTGTCTAGACCGCTTCTAAATATCAACAAGACCCACCGCTAACCACCTCGGATAATGTCCAACACAGATTCAGACAGCTTTGTCAATATATCTTCCTTTCTCGGTTCGGGCAGCGACATCTCTAAAGACCAGATGAAGACGGATGTTGTCTCACCTTCCACGTCTCACGGACACAATGAAGAGCAGCTCACAGACCTTCCTAACGAATGGAAAGTTCCCTCAGATCCCCGCCTTCGGGGCTGGTTCACCTTCTGCGGCTTGTTTCTCAGACAGCCTGATCTGGAGGAATTGTGGCAGGAGGTGAGAAAGGCGAATGGCTGGAAGAAGTATAACCAGCGCTTGCGCGATGCGGTGATGTGGATCCAAGAGGGCGTGAGTTTGCCGTTCATTTATATTCTGTCTTGCAAAACTGACTTGTCCGCTTTCGCAGTAATTACTGGTTATATTTGCGGATCTTGTATTCCTGTTGTTTAAACCCCTTCAAGACCTCGACTCCGCTTCCAGCATGTTTTATTACGCGCTGATATGCATGTCGATCCAGTTCTCCTGCATGGAGTGTGTTACAGTGCGTCGTTCAAGTTCACCAGCGCGATGATGGAGGCAATTGAGGATGCCAAACAGAAGGTAGATAATTTCCCAAAGCATAGAGCACTGTCATTGACCATAAAAATTCGCTCAGGGCGAGCAAGTATCCAAGCTGATGGGATTAGAGGTCCTGTGTCACGTCGGTTGCTTTCGCATGATACGGTTTTCTCTCGCCTACTCTTCAGCGTTTCTCGCGGGTGGTAGGCTCTTTGGTTTTGGAATTCATCTTGGTTCTGACTCGTTGTAATTGTACCAGGTCTCTGTATGGTTGCTCTGGGGGTGAATGGATTTATAGCCACTGGGGTGGCCATCACGGTCGGCATACTCTCAGACGCGACTTTTATGAAGAAACGAGCCAAGGATAAGGTCGGTGTGTCGAGTAGGTGGCATTATGTGGGTTTGCACTGCCCTGCTTTACATTCTACGAAATCGTTTTACCTCTGGCGTTTTTTGGTAAAATCCGCAGCATCCATACGAACCAAATTTTACTACTTTTTGTAGATGTTCAATCGATTTGTACGCTTCGAACCAACGGTCCGTAGCTGTCCCTCTTTCCCCCCTTGAGTCCACCGTGCATACATGCACTGTTAGGGTAAAGCTCACGGGGCGGAAATTACTTGGGATCATGTATTCATGATGAGCCTGCTCTCGGCAACACAGTGTCCAAATGACGGGTGTACTTGCAATATCCGGCAGCCCACTAGTACTGACACAGTCCGCGATCTGTGTCTAAACCATATAGGTATGTGACATACTGAAGGTGCATGCTTGAGTAGTATCGACGACCGATGGCTTTGGTACTCCTCCGGACGAAATCGATGTTGATCTCTGACGCGTGTCTGCCCAAAATAGTCGATGATGCTTTTTTGTCGTACTCCCGTGTGATGTCACTCTAGGCTACCCTCATGTCAAACAGTTAGTGTAATCAAAGAACAAACGTATGTCCATTGGCTTGTGCGTCTATATATTTACCTGATGGTTTCAGTTAGTTAGGTATTGGGCGTTGAACGTTGAACGCTCGAACGTTCAACTTTGTGCTCCCGAGATATCAGGATCATTGGGATGTAGACACACTGATGATCAAGTCCTCAGAAGGTATTTCATAGCACATACTAATTTCTTCATTCGCGTTACACACTAACTCAAATTGCTCTATGGATCTAGAATTTCAAGTGGCGATTCTGCCAGTTCTGCCAGCACAGCCGGAAGAATCGGCCGTTACCTGCTTATCGTGCACCATACCCTTTGGTTTCAGATGCCGACGTCAGTTCAGTCTATGGCTTCTGCGCACATTGTGTGGTGAGGTCAGCGCGACAAGATTCAATGCAGAGAAGGCTTACCACTACGGCACGCTTCTCAAGCTCGACAGCTGTTTTCTTGCCTGGGTCATTCTCTGGCTCTGGATTGTTGCTCTGTGCACATTGTATGGTGAGTTAAACACGACGAAATTTGATGCGGGGCAAGGCTTACCACTACGGCACGCTTTTCGAGGTCAACTGTTGTTTTCTTGCCTGGGTCGTGGTTTGGCTCTGGATTGTTGCCCTGCGCATATTGTATGGTGAGGTCAACACGATGAGATTCGATGCGGAGAAGTCTTACCACTGCGGCACGCTTCTCGAGGTCGACTATTGTTTCTTGCCTGGGTCATGGTCTGGCTCTGGATTGTTGCCCTGTGCAGATTGTATGGTGAGCTCAACAGGATGATATTTGATGCGGATCGAGGCTTACCACTATGGCACGCTTGTGAAAGTCGACTGTTGTTTTTTTGCCTGGGTCGTGGTCTGGCTCTGGATCGTTGCCCTGCGCACGTTATATGGTGAAGTTAACACGATGAGTTATGATGCGGAGCAAGGCTTACCACTACGGCACGCTTCTCAATGTTGATTTTGTTTTCTTGCCTGGGTCATGGTCTGGCTCTGGATTGTTGCCCTACGCACATTGTGTGGTGAGTTCAACAGGATGATATTTGATGCGGATCGAGGCTTACCACTATGGCACGCTTGTGAAAGTCGACTGTTATTTTTTTGCCTGGGTCGTGGTCTGGCTCTGGATCGTTGCCCTGCGCACATTGCACGGTGAATTAATTTTGATGCGGAGCAAGGCTTACCACCACGGCACGCTTCTCAAGGTTGATTTTTGTTTTCTTGCCTGGGTCATGGTCTGGTTCTGGATTATTGCCCTGCGCACATTGTATGGTGAGGTCAACGCGATGGCATTTGATGCGGAGCAAGGCTTACTACCACGATACCAGTACGCTTGTCAAGGTCGACATCTCTTATGATTGCCGATGTGCCCTAGTTGCCCTGCGCACATTGTATGGTGAGATCAACATGATGACATTTGATGCGAAGCAAAGCTTACTACTCCTACGTTGCGAGAAACCTGTGGAAAATGTATCTCGATGTCAACCTGACAAGACTTGATGCGAAGCAAGGCTTACTGGGACTACTCCAGCGTTGACATCCAGAAGGGCCGTCAAGCCAAGGAGAACACAGAAACCAGTAGAGAGGCGGGCGAACATGATAGTGAGTTGATCTTTGACTAGAGAGAATTGTTGGTGCTGTCTGATCTGTGAAGATCCTCGGTTTTTATATTCCATAGAAAACTCCTGAGTCCTAACAGAGTGTTTTGGAATTTTTAAACACATGACAGTGCTGACAGAATTGATACGAGTAGTTCCGGCGGCATTCGTCAAAGGAGTTAACGCATACGTACAGGGCCCAAATCGCGGCAGGGTCATAGTTCGACAAGTGCTTTATGGTATCAAATAAATGTAGGATGAAAAGTCATCGGCAGGCACGGGAACATCGACATTGGCCCACGACATATCTCCTTGCAGAAGGCCTTGAATAACATGATGCCATCTAACCATCGTTGGTCACGAACCTTGACCAACGACGGTCAGGGGTAATTGTTGGTGTTAGTGTCACTGAGTGGATTGTGCCAGTCGATAGAAGCTGGTCTACACGCTATAAACTGCTTGCAGATAAGACATGTAGACTGATGTTGTTTAAAGATGATCGATGGGACTCATCACCGGTTCGCATGATAAAAAATTTTGCGATGTGGAAAAAAGAGCATTGGTAAAAAGGGCCATTCGAGGGACAGAAGGACAAGGTGATATTAGCCCAAGGCGACAGAGGGGTTGTGAGCGGTGAAGAAGATGACGCATTTTTATCTGGGACATCGAGTGCAAGCAGAAAGTATTCAAGCCGCTGGTGAAGCACACAAACTTGGCAGTCCATGTTGTTGGTGTGCTTCTCACGCAATGGAAAGAGACTTGCTCTGAGTGGGTCTAGAGAAACAGGTTCTGCAGCTGTCTGCAGCATCGATGCACCGAACGCTTTCTATGGCCAATTAAAATTAATGGTTTCTCATCATCGTCATCGTCGACAGCATCACGAAAGGGAGAGTACTTAAGAATTTTTAACCATAAAGCAACTCTACTCGCCACGGAGCTCGAGCACACGGTTTGTAAATAATTTTTTTCGCAGTGGCCAGATATACGTGAAAGTATCGAAACGTTGCTTGTGTCAATCAAGTACTGTCTGACGCCGAACGCAAGGTGGCACCGGACCTGCCATGACTGAGCAACTGCCACGTCGTCTTGGATTTCATCACTGGGTGTTGGCATTATCGATGGCTTGCACCGAATTTACGCCTTGAAGGAAATGTGTAGTCGGAGACTCCCGAAGATCGTTTTGAGCGACTGATGCATGACGTCGGAAACAAGATCGCAAAGAGTTCTGCCAAATCAGGTAGCCTATAGTACCATTGTTAACATGTCCGACCACGGTGGACGACAGCTGATGAGACAACGGACCAGCTGTAAATCCTTAAAAATGCAGAAGTCGCTTGAATGACCCTCGTTAAAGTGGCCAAGGGGTTGGTTATTTCTCAAAAATGTGTATAAGACTCAGCACAGCGCAGATATGTCTGAGTGGAATATCCGGAAATAACTGTAGAATGCAATGGCATGATCTAGATGAAGGAATAGGTACGATTTAGAACGCGCAATACCGCAGGAAAGTCATTCGGGACTTTACGATTTAGGACGCGCATATACGTGTGTGATATTGATAGGCGTTGCAAGTGTCTGTCACTCAACCGATCAACATGAGTCATGGTGGAAAGTGAAGACGTAGACTAGTAATGTGTGAAACTTACTTGACAGTGGCTCAAACATCTGCCCCAGGCCAGCGTGATAGGGTTGGAGGTTCCTAGTGACACTCGTGTAACACTACTACATGTGGAGCTGCGATAAAACAAATATCTGCATATTGATGTCTTCTGCGGACCTTCTCCTCATGGTCCTGCGGCAGCTCTCAGACTCGAGTATCAGTACAAAAACAGAGGGGAGTGAAGTCCATCTAGCTTGATATATCTGAATAGGCGATAGCAACATGTGTTCTTTTCTTCTTGTAGAGGGTGAGCTCCCGAACGACTAATTATGTCGCAATTCTTGCGTCGGGCACAGATTCCAAACTGTGTTTATTGTTCGCCGATTCCATTGGATCACGGCTCACGATCAGTTGTAGTCACGTGTAGTGGCCGGTTGGTTCCAATTCGATCCAATTCGTGGTGTGGAAGTGCTCCACGACAGCCTAATAATACATATGATAGAGTGGGATGATGCAATCTACTCGGTCGGGAAACGTACGTGGGGCGGCATTCTTGGTAGCATAGAATCCATCATGACAGCTGGCATGACTATGCTCTCATGGGGAGAACCGCATTTGCTGAGTTGCTAGCGCTGTAATACATCAGTGTTCCCGCAAAAAATGAAAATGACAATCTGGGAGACGATGACGTTCCGTTCAGCACATACACCATGCCCCATGCGTACCTTGTGAGGCAAAAATGGTTCGAAAATTGCGCATGGGGCATGAAGTCGTAGCCCTACGTTCGACTCATGATCCATAGCAACAATGCAGCTCGGTGTTGGGTCAATAGTATTCCTCGAAAGATCTTCAACTCCCCTGTCACGCTAACCAAGGGACTCACATACGAAATATGCCTCCCAAATACCACCACCCCACCCCCACCCTTCTCTTGCACGATCTCGACGCCATGGAAGCCTGTTACAATGGCGTTTCTTGTAGCAGCAGGAGAAACTACAAAGTATGATTATATCGAGTCTGGCTCGGTGAGAGCGCGTGGGACTGGAGTAAGGCGGGGAGGGGAGTTAGATACAACTGTGGATTACATATTCGCCTTGGGGAGGACATCTGCAACATGTAAAGCTGCCCTTATGAACAATTCGTAACCTTTCTTTTCTCCTTCTATTGATTGATGCAGATATATGCCTGGGATGGAGACAAGAATAGATCCAGGAATAGAGGCACATTGGGCGTAGTAGGTGCCAGTAGGCCACGGGTGGGGTAGGCACGGAAACGAGTGGGACCTGGTGAATGAGGTGCGTAGTGGAATTGGTTGTTTGGGCAGCTGGCAGTGCACCAGGCCCCAGATCAACTCTATGTAGAACTCTCGAGTATCACACTCAGGAATCAGAGTAGATCTCACGCAGATGACTTTGAGTTTAACGAACGAGCCAAAATTAATAGCCGATGGGTTCCGAAGCGCCGCCCGGGCCGTAAGTAGTTCTTTGGCTGCAAGATGTCGGCAAAATTCAACTATCCTCCTTCAGACCGAGCCTGCAGCCTGAGACTGTAGTCATGGCGTGTCGTGACCAATCTTGTCAAATGCTTACAAAAGATGTCCTGCTTGTTGGCCTGGGTGCAGTTGGAACAATCTGTATGTCGCGCCTCACGAACTTCACTACTAGCTTGTGACACTATTTCAACATTTCGTATCAACGATACTGATATTGGTATTAATCGTAGATGCGTATATCCTCCAAAGCAGCAAGCTTGCGCGAGTCACTGTCGTTGCCCGAAGTAATTATGATGTCGTGAATGGTGAATTATGTTATCTCATCATCAAGATTTGTCCCGCGATGTTGATCCGACTCCAGCCAAGGGTATGCACATCAGGAGCAAAAAGTATGGCACTCACGAGAGCTGGAAACCCTACCGTCGTAAGTAACTCCATATTGTCTGCGATCTCAATCGCCGTGCATTGACATTATTGGTTGATAGTGGTATCGTCGGTGGCAGAAGCCGCTGACAGGTCGTATTCCTACGTGGTCATTACAACCAAGGCAATTCCAGAGGTGGTCGAAACACCTCGTGTCCTAGAACCACTGCTTTCTCGTCCATATAGTGAAATGCACCCCCAGCCTACTTATGTCATGCTCCAAAACGGACTCGGAGTGGAGCGAGATTTGTATCATAGCGCCAAGGCACTCAATCAAGGTCAACCGAAGATCATCAGCGCGCTCGTATGGATCGCAGCGAATTTGGTGGAGAAGAACATGGTCAATCATAACCGCTTCGTGAGCAAAAATGATTCAATCCTTTCGGATTTCTGACATATATCATCTCTTACGGACACAGGATCGTCTTACCATTGGAATGTACAGACATGGAGATCACCTGACGACTACCAATTCTCCTGAAGAATATGCTATTTTGGCAGACTTTGGAACCATGCTCGAAGCAGGAGGTTCAGAAGCGATCATTGTAACAGAAATCCAGCGCAAGAAATTTGCCAAGACAATGTGGAATATTGCATTCTCCTCCTTCTCGACTCTCACTGGGTCTTCTCCTGCAGCGATGTTTCGACCTCCGCCTGAAGAAGGCCAATCATATAGTCCTTACGTCGCTTCTCAGACAGCAACAGTTGTTGAGAGAAACACTATTCCCGTTCTACGTGCGATTTTACAAGAGATGATTACCCTTGGTGATTTCTAATTGTAAGACCTCTTCGTATATCTTACCTATTTCGCAGGGCGTGCACTGGGCTACGCAGACAATGAAGATGGTCTACCTTCTTCCCTCGTCGACAGTACTATATTACAGACTGCTGAGATACACCGCGACCCTGCACATATTACTCTCCCGAGCATGCTCTTCGACGCCCAGAATGGGCTACCTATCGAGGTTGAAGTAATTGTTGGCGAGGTGGTCAGAATGGCGAAGGAGATGGGGGTAGACGTACCAGTAAGCAGTTTTTGCCGTCTCCGACATGATAACTGATCTCTGCCCCGCAGCGTATTGACACTCTATATGCTTTGTTGGCTGTTGTTCAAAACCAGACTCTTGGTGGGTTTAGACAGTGCAAACTGTAGACGCAGCAGCCCTTCAATGCCACAATATTTTGACCTGAGCTAAGCTGCTTATTGGTTTTTTGAACCTGCCAAGGATTTGGTTCTGCAAGACGGTCGATAAAGCGTACAACATTGCAATACACTGCACAGTTACACTGATGAGTCGGTGAAGATGGAGAACACTGTACATTGTCCCCCCCAGCGCCAAGGAAATTAACTTCTGATGTCTTGAATGTCGTATGCAGTGATAAAGCTGTGAGTGGTGCAATGCTGCAAGGTGTGGTGGAACATCCAGGATCTAGCATAGCGTACCATCAACAGATTGTAGTATAAAAGACGAGTCAAGAGCGGGATAGCGAGTCCAGTTCATCCCTAATCACCCTGGCAATTCCCTCAGCCGACGGACGATCCTGAATTGCAGTTGACCAACATTCCTCAATCAAAGTCCAATACTCGTCAGATAACACAGGATAGCGTGATCGTAAAGGCTTGGCCCCGATGCCTATGCGTTGAATGACTGCAGCATCTCGTAGGTAATAGTAGGGCGTAATGACGTCAGTGGGAGGACGAAGATTTCCTAGACATACATGTAGCATGATACCACCAAAGGAGTAGATGTCGCTGTATTTGCTTGGCCGTGTTGGCAATTCATTATCTGGTTCCCCGAGTAGCTCGGGAGCCAGCCATCGAAAGTTTCCGTGGAACGCCGAGGACCAGGAAGCCAGGGAGGTACTCATGGCTTCAGAGTATACCAGGGACAAACCGAAGTCAGCGAGGCAAGCTGTGCCGTCACCATGAATAAGCACATTCGGCTATGTAGAGGAGACGATGTTGACATCTGAATCGCTTAAAACGCTCGAAAAGGGAACAGCTTACCCCAGTTAAGTCACCGTGAATGACATTATTTGCGTGAACTGTCAAGAAAGCGTTATGAATCCAGTCAGGGGTATCGACACTAATACGTACGATATTGCAGGCCATTCGTAATATCTCCGAGCTAACATTGCCATCAGCCAGTGCTTAAGATATATATTACAAAACTTACAATCTGGAATCGTCTGACCATAGTAAGATGTGCATCTTGCCGCTCCAGATAGGTTGTCAGATTACCATTATCTGCCCAGGGGCTGACCATTGCCATGAACAGGCCGAAGCCATGCGTGTAGCCATACACAGGCAGAATATTGTCATGCTTAAGTCTTGCGCAAGTTCTGATTTCACGTCGTATCCTCTGCAAAACCTCTAGCGTAACTAATAAATGTAGAAATTCATCAAGACACTCACTTTGGTCTTTTTCTCCATTGCTCCGTCAAGTTGATCAGAAGCGTAAAATAGCAATGATTTCACTGCAACCTGCAAAATTGTCAACTTCGTACACGCAGGTAGAAACAATATTGCACAAACGGTGATCGGTCCCTGATCCGTTTGATAAGTACATTTCCATATCTCTCCAAATCCGCCACGGGCAACAGGATAGTCTCCAACCTTGCTAATAGATTGTGTGAGGTCTCGGAGCGTGACAGGGGGGACTGATGAACGGGACTGAAAGTAACCGACTATAGTCGTGACACTGTAAGCACTAGAGACACTCACATCTGACTCCGCTCGCACGAATGACACCTGTGGAGCGTCACGTCGATGTTGCTGTAAAAGGATGCGAGCAGTCAGAGACAGATTCAAGGTGACCTCACAGTAAACTGACTTTCTGGAGGTGAGAAGGAGACGAGTGATAAAGATCCATCCTCGAAACACGATGGTTGCGATGCGGCGTTTATGCACGCAACAAACAACTTGGTTTGGAGTGCCAATCAGAGAGATTGGAGAGATCGAGAGCATAGCTCGTTCGTTGCGAGATGTCAAGTAAAGGTTGGATTACCTTGCATATATTTCAAGCACTACTAGCTTTGGCTGAGGTGCTCGCAGAATACCAGGACTTATGAACAACAAGCTCCTCAGGCTCTAGGTTTGTGTTTTCGTGAGATTCAGCTTGTCTTTCCGACTCTTGTCTGCGTGCGTGGTGCGATATGATACTATCAAGCTTGCTGCGTTACGGCGTCAAGGGTGAACTTACTCAGTTAACTCTTTTTTTTGGGACAGGTTGGTTGAGTCCAATCCCGAGTTCCCTGCTAAGCGGGCTAGGACAAACTTCAAACGATATCTGTACTTGCTTCAAGCTTCTTTGGTGACCACCGTAGATCTCTGATCTGTGTGGCTTCCTGTCGGCGGATTCGTGTTTTATTCTGCCCTCCACGGGCACTCGCGGGACACGTCAGAAGTTATGTGATAACTATACAGCTCTCCAACATGGATGCTGCCTTGTTAGATTGGACTCGTACTGACCTATGGCATATACGAAGATTTTACTGCGCATGTCAAAAGACTTCACTTCTACTCTAGTATGCGATAGATATGTATTGGCGATGGATGTAAAAAAATGCTGGAACGTAGGCGTCGCAGATCATTCTTTTACTAATGAGCAACTCGAGCAATGCCTCACGCAAAGCTATAAACATTATGAAGATCAGGCAGCGGATGTCCTTGCAGCGGATTAGCCTATCAAAAGCATGCATACAATGCATAAGCACTCGAGCACAAAACGCATACATGAATGAACTTACAGGATACGCAACTTCATCCCTTGAAAGGCGAATTCGATGTTGGGGCAAGTACCCCTCAAGCTTTGTCCGTGCGTAAGGCAGGGAACTCACCACCTCCTCCGCAAGCAAGCGACCCGCCCTTAAAACACTCGGGTCCGTCACTAAAGCACCACGCGACCCACGACATGCCTTGGCCTCCTCTCCAGCCCATCTAACACTCGCAGGATTGAAGTCTAGAATGAAAGCTGCAGCTCGGGTCGAGGAGTCTTCTTCTGAAACTTCATCGCATGTATCATGGTCTATGTCGGTGGAAAAAGCCACCCTATAACCATCTACATCCTGCAAAGGCTCTACATCGCCCTGTTCACGGAGGACTTCGTCCATCAAGAAAACGCGGGATATCTTGGGACCCCACTCGTTCCAAAGCATCGTGCAGTCAACAGCATCTTTTCCATGAGTGATGGAAAGCAACATTGCGATATCAATAGCGATGTCCAATTGAGCTTTCTGAATGCCTATTGCAAGGGGTATCGACAGAGCCATGATTCCGCTGTTCAGTGGAAGGATCTCTCGAGGACGCTGATTGGGCTGAAGAATCCACTCCTGAAGAGCTCTGGGGAGAAGCATGCGACTGGGAGATATGGATGCCTCTGCTCGGATATGGGGTAGTTGTAAAGACAACTGAAGCGTCACGCGCCCAGACGAACACAGCTGGCTCGGCAAAATGACATCATAAAGACGGAGCATTAGACGGGAAGGGTTGGCGCTTCTGTGGATGACGGCAAGAGTACGACCGTTTATGAAGTTGAAATCGTCGATCCTGTCGGGATGAAATCCCACCTTCAAGTTACAAGTATAACATCTCAGTTAATTTGATTGTTCGGGCCGGACGATGTAGGCTTACCAATTTGAATAAGATGCCGGTTTTCCAGTTATAAAGCAAGAGCATGTTGGCATGGGGTTCTAGCTTGTTCGAAAATGAATCCCTCGTTATGATCGCGCACCAGGAACCCAGTATTCTTAGACCACGGGCGTCGAGCGGAGCGGAGAAATAGACCATTGGGCAGATGCTGGTGAAGAGGATACGGGTTGGACTAGCAGCTTTTGAATGCGGAGACATCTCTCGCAAGGAGAGGAAGCAGAGATAGGACATGCCAGTTCTCAAAGAGGTTTCTGTCAGTGTTATTCAGTTGCGCGTAAGACTACTCACCCAAGGTGCATCCGCAGCAGAACAAGAAGATCCTGCTGTACATCAGCAGCGTGTAGACGAGTAACCTCATCAGCTTGACTATGAAAGGTTGCACGTTCCAATGTATCCCCAACAACAGTCGATGCATCCCGTTTAGACACATACAAAACTACCTTCTGATAGTAGCTTGTGAAGTGGCTATCATTCAGAGTTGCACGGCAGGATGAAATGATCGGGCGCATCGTCCTCCACCTGTGTTCTCTGCACCTGAGGGAAGCCAAAGCCTGTGGAAAGGAGATGATTGGTGATGCGGATGCGGCATTATACTCAAGACCCTCCCGCTTAAGTTCATGGAGGTATGGGACGCGAACTAGGGCACATATAGCTTTAAGTTGCTTACACGTCTGTGAGAGGGTCAGATGCATGCATACGGGAGACATGAGGGTAGCTACCTTGGAGAGACTCTCGAGGTCACTCATAGTTGTTAAGTCGAGCAGATATACAAGCACGTCATCGGGGAGGTGAAGAAAGTGGGATGCATAAGACATTGGAAAAAAAAAATGGGCGACGTCCAAAGGCTGTTGGAAGAATTCATGTCATATATAAGATGAAACATCGGGTCCTGAATAGGTCGCGAAGAGAACCGTCATGAGCAACGGCCGCCGGTGGCCGGTCACTGTTCCACTTACGCTGATGCCGTAAGTATTGACATGGTTTTGGACGAGAAGCAAAGAAGACGAACTTTATGTAACAGGTGTCTCAACAGCATTAACCGTTATGTATAGATCGTCGTGCTTTAGGCCTGGGATGGACTTGTTGATGGACGTAAGTTAAACTTGTGGGCCCTGGCTGAGACTGGCTAAGAGCAGAACAGGAAAGCAATCCCACCTCCATCCTCGCTTTATTATGCAATCGGAAACCAAAAACGACAACACTATTTCTAATGTGTCCTTAGTACCTGGATAAGGTAGAATGCAGCATGCATACTATCCCGAATAGACTGTAGGGGATAGTATATGCAATTTTACCACCATCCGCCACATCCAGGCACCAAGTTATATCGTGCTTCATGAAAGGGTCTGAAGCGGTACCGGACACCCATCCAACCACGGTGCGAACCTGGAGAGTGCAGAGCCATTTTGCGATATACTGAAGGGAGCGCCACTAACTACAAGGACGTCTTGTCCGACGTCCTCGCGCGCTGCGAACTCGGTGAAAGCCCAATTTCCGCCACCATCAAAAGGAACGATCCTCGCGATATGTTGCATATCTGGGGCTACCGCATGGTCTGCAACAAGTGCCAAGTGGACTGCGGAACACTTGGCAACGAAGTTGCATATGCTGCACCAGGAGGAGTGAAAGAGGTAGCGCACTGTCAAGGGTATGAGGTCAGTGCGTTTATTGAGTAGACTTACATGTAGTGTCTACCTGGAGAGCGAAGAGATCATGCTCGAAACACAACGACGCCAACTGCAAGGATGACTTCATTGTTCACATTTCTGGCATCGTTTCAGGTGGTGGCGCCGCGACCTCAATGAATATATGTCGCATATCGGGGGCTATTACCACATGATATCTGCGACAAGTGCCAAGTGGACTGCGGACGCACACTTGGAAACGAAGTTGCCTATTCTGCACATGGAGGAGTGAAAGAGGTGGCGCAAAACCGTCGACGATACGTGGTCGGTGGATTTATTGAGCAGACCTTGTGGTGTCTCAATTCCGGGACTGCTGCAGACTCAAATACGAAAATGGCGTCAGGTAGGGATACAGATCTTGTTTGAAAACCAAAAACCTTGGCAGTCGCGTCGATGACGAATCATATCGACTGTTGTCGACATACGGGAAAGTGCGAGGTTAATCTCCGATTGAACGTGTGAGGCATGACAGGTTGTTGGAAGGGAGTTAGGTGAGAGAGCGGAAGCTTGGCGTTGGAAGGATGGAAGTGCCGGTTCTAGTGCGTCAACGGAGGAACTTTTTTGCAGCGACTCGTGTCAACGACTGTCCGTCTCTGTCACTGCTTCGGATGACACCAATAAGTAACAACATAGATCGTCGGAGATAAATCATAACATAGTCACCATCTTTGGGCCAAGTACGCTGGGGGTGTTAATAGCACGTTAGTACGGTTCATTTGAGCAAATTTGACACTAATGATCATATACCTTCGTCCATCTCCTGCGTCTCTTCATCATGCGGCACTCCGAGGTCTTCGTAAATGTGTCATGTCCACCTGCGGCGTCATCCCATGCGAGATGGAGTTTTTTGCCTACCGTGACTAGGTAGTAGTTTCGCCGAGGGATGGCGCGTGGCTAACTTATGTAAGTGGGACTGGCATGATTTCACCTGACCTTCCCAATAAGTAAGCCTTACTATACTGAGTGATTACGTGGATGGCTCAGTATTATTAGGCTTAATTACGATAATCCTCGACACCAGCGTTAAATCATGGCCTAAATCCTCCAAGTCCTCCAAAGCTCCAAGGTATTATAAGGGCATATCATTATATAATCTATGCACATATTTCACGGTTCCAATATATGCTTGTATCGTCCGAAAGCGGCAATTTTTAGTACTACCTTCGAAAACATAACCCAATTTGGCAGTTCTAAAATATCAATGTTTTCTGGCTACCCCAAGCTTCACCCTGCTCCTCCCTGTGTAGTAGCCTTGTATATAACATGTATCTTAGCTATCATGCATCCTGTAGAACCTACTGAACCGCTATATATGCTACCAGTCATCACAGGGAGTGCATGCTAGCTACAATACTTTATACATGTGAAGAAAGGGAAAGCATGACAGCAAGAGGACATACCCAGCTCTAGCTACATGGAGGTCATTCAAAAACTCGTCATCGACCTGTCCTCCGGAGACGAAAATTTGATGCCGACCATAGTAACAGCGTGACCATAGCGTCCAGAAGGTACAGGACCGCGCGCATAACTACCCGCATCCACTCTCGTGAAACTGGTGTACATGTACATGAACTATGCTTATCAGACAGTGAAGTAGGATGAACGCACCGAGGTTCAGTAAATATAGCGCATCATCATGCTGTTCTGACCGATCGAACAAGGGGTTTGCGTTGGTCTCGCCTCCCCATACAATAAGAACGCTGCTAACGAATGCACTAGCGTGGCCGACTCTTGGCGAGGGTGTTTCTCCACATGTCTCAACGAGAGTCGCGCTCAGATCATGGGCAGAAAAAATGTATAAATCATTGTGGGCTGTTTCGCGGACGAGACCGCCAAAGAGATATAACTCTCCTGAAGCAGTGGTTGTCGCAGAAAGCGTATGCCCATAGCGAGGGAATGGTGAAGGTGAATCTGGTACCGCCTTGCTAGGCGTAGGGAATATAGGGGGAGGGAGGAGTAAACACTGTATGGACCATGGATAAGCTGACCGCCGTTGACGCTGTTGGGGGCCTTGAAGAGGTTGGTGGTGTGAACTGGGGTGTTATTATCATGATGGGGCTGACTTGGTGTTGTCGAGCGAGGGCCATCGCAGGGTTATGAGGAACATTCGTGGTATTTGTACTGAGTATTTTGGGAAAGCAGCGCCCAATTTGAAAAGGGTAGCAAAGACAGTAAGGAGGGGCAGATCGTGCGTCAAAGACTCTGAGTCAAAGGAGAGACTTTGAAGTTCGAGTTCGAGATCTAGCACTGAGCAACTGTCATGATCGATTGATGTACGGAATGACAACAACTTCTTTGCAGCTACAAGGACGTGTCATTGATGGATGTAGTGCTGCTACACAGAATGCTGAAATCGTTAATGAAAACCAGTTAGGAAAGTACGAGAGGCAACTGAAAGGGTGCCAAGGGTCCGGTCACGCCAGTTCTGAGGTCCCATTATCCGTTTTCCTCTCCACCGAGTCTCTGGCAGACAAGTACAGGGATGCACTGCCCAGCTAGCGCTCAGCTCAGTGCCTTCTCTTTCTCCGAAAGGACCCGCAGCACTGACGTGATACGGTCACACCGACGGGGACGACTGACGTGTATGAGGTGTCAGAAACACAGGAGACACATTTTGCCAACCTCCAGCTGCGCTAAGACTACTCTTGATCTGCCGTATTAGAACCTGTATGCACGCTGTGCACGGTAAAGATGATCAGTACCATATATATATGTGCGCTTCTCGTGATACAATTCCTTTTTCGCACTAATATCAACTGACTTATATGTATGTGGCTTGAACTTGGAAGTTGGGAGTCCCGACGTTGATCTAAGCCGCACGTGTCTCGCACTTGGTTGAAAGTGTCGGTCTGTGTGCTCAATCACTTTGCCTCTTACCACTTGATTCGGGCAGCGACATCTCTAAAGACAAGACGAAGATGGATGTCATCTCACCTTCCACACACGGACACAGCGAAATGCAGCTCACAGACCTTCCTGATGAATGGAAACTTACCTCAGATGCCCACGTTCGGCGTTGGTTCACCTTCTTCTGCGGCTTCTTTCTCAGACACCCTGATCTCGAGGATTTATGGCAGGAAGTGAGAAAGGCAAACGGCTTGGAAGAAGTATAGCGAACGCTTGCGCGATACGATGATGGGGATACAAGAGGGCGTGAGTCTACCGTTCATTTACATTCTGTCTTACAAATCTGACTTGTCCATTTTCACAGCAATCACTAGTTATGTTTGCGAATACTATACGCGTGCTGTTTCCACCAATTCAAAACCTCGACTCCATTTCCAGCATGGTTTATTAATCGCCGATATTCTTGTCGATCCAGGTCTCCTGCATGGGAGTGTCTTACATGGCGTCGTTCAAGTTAGCCAGCGCGATAGCGGAGGCAATAAACAGGAGGTAGGGAACTTTCCGAAACACAGAGCACTGGCATTGACTATTCGCTCAGTGCCAGCAAGTATCCAAGTTGGTGGGATCGGAGGTCCTGTGTCTCGTCGGTTGCTTTCGCACGATGCAGTTTTCTCTCGCTTGTACTCTTTGGCGTTCCTCGCACGCGGGCGGTAGGCGCTTCTGTTCTGGATTTAATTCCGGTTCTGACGTGTTGTAATTTTACTAGGTCTCTGTATGGTTGCTGCTGGGGGTGAACTTGGCTACATCGCCATTCGGGGTGGCCATCACGGTCGGCATACTCTTAGACGCGGCTTTATGAGGAACGAGCCAAGGATCGAGTCGGCGTGTAGAGCGGTTTACCTCTGGTGTTTTTTTGATGACATCCGCAGTATTCATACGAACCAAATTTACCACTTTTTGTAGACGTTTAATCGATTTGTACGGCTTTCGAACCAACGGTCCGTAGCTGTCTCCCTTTCTCCCCTTGATTCCACCATGCATACATTCACTGCTAGGCTCATTCTCCTGGGGCGGAAATTACTTGCGATCATGTATGCATGATGAGCTTGCTCTCGGCTGCACGGTTTAACGTCGGAATGACATGTGTACTCGCAATCTCCGGCAGTCACACTAGCACTGGCGCAATTCGCGATATGTGTCTATATCATATACGTATGTCACACGCTGAAGGTGCATGCTTGAGTAGCGCTGTGCTCGAAGCTCGATTGGATTTTACATATAGATGTCCCTGGTCAATAGTATTCCGAACCTTGTCCTTAACACTCTGGATCCACAATGCCCACATGAGTAGCCCGCTGTTCCCGCTGACTTTCTCTCAGGATTCTTCTCCTTCTAGACCGGTTGTAAAGCTCCTAAAAGGCATATCATTGTGAAGTTTAAGAAGCTATGTGACATCGCGCACGACGGCTTTTTGGACCACGTTGACGCGTGTGTTAATGAGCTCCAAAAACACATTCCGCCACGCTCCCAATGAAAATCGTTTTCTGACCGATGGCTTTGATGTTCCTGCGGATAAATTCGACGTCGATGTAAGCCTGGTGGCTTACGTACACCTACACATATGGTTCATTGCATCGTAGACACCTCTTTCCCTGAGCTTGTACCTTACCGTCGTCGTCGTCTCGCAATCCAGAACGTGGTTCTGTTTTGTTTCGTGTGTTTCTTCAGTGTTTCTCGTCGTTGGCCACGACTTGTTTCCAGTCGACCGCTGACGCATATATATGCCCGGAATGGTCAACGATGCTTTTTTGTTTTCTCCCATTTATTGTCACTGTAGGTTAGCCTCATGTTGAACGATTGATGTAATCGAGGTATGTCCATTGGCTTGTACTTCTGATGGACATACATGTTTCCTGATGATCTACGAAGGTTTCGGTGATTTAGGCGTTGAATGCTCGAACGTTCGGACATTCTCCCGAGATATCAGGATCATTGGGATGTAAGCATGCTGACGATCAAGTACCCAGAACGTGTTTCATAGTACATACTGATATCTTCGTTTGCGTAATACACTAGCTCAAATTGCTCTACAGAATTTCCAAGTCGCGATTCTGCCAGTTCTTCCAGCACAACTGACAGAATCGGATTTCCAGCGTAACCTAGAGTCGTTCAGCATACGTTTAAAACACCGAGGTCTGCTCCGGGTCCCTCTTGGTCTCGAACCCAGAGGTCAGCTCTGCGTCCCTCTTCGTCTCGAACCCGGACGTCAGCTCCGCGTCTCTCTTTGTCTCGAATCCAGAGGTCAGCTCCGCGTCCCTCTTTGTCTCGAACCCGGAAGTCAGCTCTGCATCCCTCTTTGTCTCGAACCCGGAAGTCAGCTCTGCGTCCCTCTTTGTCTCGAACCCGGAGGTCAGCTCCGCGTCCCTCTTTGTCTCGAACCCGGAAGTCAGCTCTGCGTCCCTCTTTGTCTCGAACCCGGAAGTCAGCTCTGCGTCCCTCTTTGTCTCGAACCCGGAAGTCAGCTCTGCGTCCCTCTTTGTCTCGAACCCGGAGGTCAGCTCCGCGTCCCTCTTTGTCTCGAACCCGGAGGTCAGCTCCGCGTCCCTCTTTGTCTCGAATCCAGACGTCAGCTCCGTGTCCCTCTTTGTCTCGAACCCGGAGGTCAGCTCCGCGTCCCTCTTGGTCTCGAACCCAGAGGTCAGCTCCGTGTCCCTCTTGGTCTCGAACCCGGACGTCAGCTCAGTCTCTCGCGCCTGCGCACATTGTTGGTGAGGTCCCATGATGAGATTTGATGCGGAGCAAGGCTTACCACGACACGCTTGTCAAGTTCTGTATCTCTTATGGTTGCATAAAGTGCTGATGTACCATAGCTGCCCTGCGCACATTGTATGGTGAGGTCAACATGATGACATTTGATGCGAAGCAAGGCTTACTACTTCTACGTCGCGAGCAATCTGTGGAGAATGTATCTCGATGTCAACACGGCAAGACTTGATGCGAAGCAAGGCTTACTGGGACTACTCCAGCGTTGACGCCCAGAAGGGCCGTCAAGCTAAGGAGAACACAGAAAGCAGTAGAGAGGCGGACGGACATGATGATAGTGAGTTTATCTTAGACTTGAGAGAGTTGTTGGTGTTGTCTGATCTGTGAAGATGCTCGGTTTTTATATTCCACAGAAAGCTCCGGAGTCCTAACAAGGTGTTTTGGACTTCCATGTCAACGTGAAGGAATTTCGAAACGTATGACAGTGCTGACAGAATTGATACGAATAGTTCCGGCGGCATTCGTCACAGGAGCTCTTTGGCTGTTAATGCGTATGTACGTACAGAGCCGAAATCGACGAGGGAGGTCACACCCGAGGCACGGCAGAGCCGATCCTCGCGTACTTATCGCTGTTCGTGTACTTTGATCTCGACTAAATGAGATAGCTTACACTCATACATTCATAACAGCGCATCCGGCAAAACACATTTTGAATGGATCGTAGCGTCAGGCCAATTATAAACGTCAACAACTCGTGGCTTCAGTCGAACACTGTGTACCAATTTGTCACGGAGAGTCGTGGTAACAGGTGCCTAAGCACCTAAGTAAGTAACAGCAGACACAAGCTTGCGTTTTCACTGGTGAAGCCCAGTGAGGTATCAAATGCACGTTGGAATGTAAAATCATCGGTAGGCACGGTAACACCGCCGTTGGCCCACGACATATCTATTTTGCGTCATACGAAGTTGGGTAATCCCCTTGCAGAAGGTTTTGAACGCCACGATGGCGTCAAACCAGCGTTGGTCACGAATCTTGCTCAACAACGGTCACTGAGGGGCAGTGGTCAGTGTCACTACAAAATTTTGCAACTCAGTGAGACAGAGCGGATGCACCAATCTTTGGGGCGCGCGCATTGCTTACTTAAGTAGGAGACGTCTCAGTCGAGGTGAAGATGGAAGTGCGATCAGGTGTCAGTAAAAACCAAGGGTCTCTCCCCATACGATCAGAGCGCTGCTAACGAATGTACTAGCATGGCCCACTCTTGGCGAGGGTATTTCTACACCCGTCTGAACAAGAGTCGCGCTCAGATCACGGGTAAAAAATACAAATCATTGCGCTGTTTCTCTTTCGCGGACCTGACTCCAAAGAGATAAAGATACAGCTCTCCTGAAGCAGTTGCTGAGGCAGAAAGTGTATGGCAATGGTGGGGCGTAGCGATGGAATGATGGGGCATAGTGAGGAAATGGTGAACTTGGTGCCGCATCGCCAGGCTTGGGAAAAATGGGAGGGGAGGGAGGAGTAAGAGTAAACGTTGTGCAGACCATGGATAAGCTGACAGCTGTTATTGTTGGGGACTTGGGGAGGCTGCTGCTGTGACTGGGGCGGCTGTTGTGTTATGATCATAATGGAGCTGGCTTGTCGTCGTTGAGCCAGTACCGTCGTAGGGCCATTTGAACGGAGTATTTGCAGCAAATCATCGACCAATTCAATAAAAGAAAGAGGTGCAGAGACAAAAAAAAATGACGAACAGCTGTGACTCACTGCCAATTGATATGAACGACTCACGAATCATCCTATAGGTGTTGGTATCTGCAACATTCTCCTTTGCAGCCATTGACAGCTGTGCCGTGCTCTGTTTCCTACTGGACGGTAGGGCTGATGGCGGTAGGGTGGTAGCAGACGTAAAGAGAAAATCGAAAACACTGTTCCTGATATGCGTTCATAGCACATTCTTTCCACATCCAAGCACCGAGTTATATCATGTTTCGTGGAGAGTCCTAGCGGTACCGAACAGGGTACAGGTATCTAACCAAGGTGCGAACCTGGAAAGCGAATAGCATTGCTCGAAACGCAGCGACGCCAACTACAAGAATGTCTTCGAAATGCAGAAAATCGCTGTTAGTGGTGGCGATGCGAACTTGATGAACGCCCGATATGTGCCACAATCATATAAGGGATGGTCGTCGTAGGTAGATATCGCATATCGGGGGCTACCGCGTAGGTTTGCAACAATTCCCAAATAGACTGAGAACGCATTTGGTAGCGGTGTTGCCTAGGTCACATTTCTCCTGCAAGTGACTGGGAGGGTGAAAGAGGTAGCGCAGAACTGCCGATGATCCGTGGCCAGTGCGTTTATAGATCTTGCGATATCTCGATTCTGGGACTGTTACGAAAATGCTATCAAGTAGGGACCTAAAAAAAATAAAAACAACAGCTGCCTAGTCAATCTCCGATCGACCATTTGGGAGATGTGACGAGGATGAGTCGATCCATACTGCTGGACAAGAATTAGAATGAGAAAGCGGAAGCTCGGCGTTGGAAGAGAAGGAAGAGCAGATCGTAAGTCAAGGGAGGAACTTCCAAGTTCGAGATCTAGCACTGAGCGACTGGCATGACCGATTGACATATGGAATAACGATCGACATATCTCGTTTTTTTTGCAGCGTGATAATGGGTAGTGTCGCTAGATGGTCTTTCAGTGAGAAATGCGGTAGCGGATATTTGAGGGGCGCGACTTACTTTAAGTGGGATGTATAATTTGGACGACCCGTGCCAAGGAATGTGATACACTGATATTCTTGAATCTTCACGTACAGGATGGTCATGGGGACGTTCAAGAAGCGACAGTGACTCTCCACAATGGGGAATCGGAGAAGGACAAAGTAGCGATGAGGAAATAATACCGTGGAAGGTGAACTCACATAAGATGATGGCCCAACCCTAGTTGCTACCCCAGCCGCAGTAGATGTTGAGATGGCTTCGTTCGAGTAGGTAGCACTGGGCTTTCATGGAGATGAGCAATCACGAAGTGGTATAATCGAACGACACACCATCGTGAGTTATTCTAGCACAAGCGGCATCGATGTCTGGGGAAGGAGGCCCACGATAGATGGAAGGAAAGTCGTGGGTTGCGTTGAGCCTTACAATCATGGACTCGACAACCCCACTTGCTGGAGCTGTTACAGATCATTCACATTATTTGTCGCATGTTCGACGCACGTTTGTCGCATGTTCGACGCACGTTTGTCGCATGTTCGACGCACGTTTGTCTACCTACAGTGTACAGGAATGTCGTCGTGCAGGTGAGGTGAAGGCGTGCCCGTCCTCAACGCGAAAAAGAGCACCGATGCACGTCCTGCAGCTTTGGACGATGTTCTGTAGCATCTGCACCGAACCTTTCTGTCAATCACCAAATAGTTTGACGTCATGGACATCGTTGACAAGCTCATCAATACTCAGTTGGGTGAGTGCTGTAATTTTTTTTAACCATGACGCACTTGGGGAATGTGGCGTTTGCTCCCTAACGACGAAGGACAACGAAGACTTGAGCGATCGAAAGGGTTGATGAGAGGACAAGTCTTGGTCCGAGCGTCGCTGTTTCAAGTGATCGTGCTTTTTCTATTTTACCTATCTATTTGTTATCTATCTTATCACAATCTTCATACATCGCGATAGTATTTAGAGTCGTTAAACTGTACTGAAAGCTAGTTAGTATTCTTCCAATCCATCCGGACTGGTATCTGGTTACTTGCGATAGAATCTCTAAGTTGTGCCGTCATCTAAAGTCTTACCAACTTCTACCTGCCGTCACAGGGAAGCAACTCCGTTCACCGGGAATCGCGCAATCTGTTAGTATTAAAATAGATTTTTCGTAATGGGCAGATACGGATAATTACGTGACACACACATTAAGATCATGCTGATCTTGCGAAAGCATCGAAACGTTGCTGCGTCAATCACTGGCAAGTACTGTTGTATCTCACTCTTTTGCTTAAACGCAAGGTGGTACGACCTGGCGCGACTTGGAAACTGCCACGTCCAATCCGCATCTTGAATTTCCTCACTGTGGGTGTTGGTGTTATCACCTACTAGTAGCAATCTACGTCCCGAAGGAAATGTATCACACCTCATTCCGACAACTACCTTCAAACAACAGGCCATTTGTGGACGGCTGCGAGCTAGCCCACCGACTCGAGAGCTTGTTTGTAATTTGTCTTGAAATTTACGCTGGTTTCACTGACAGTTGGTATCATACTCCAAAGCCGTGGACTTCTGAAAGGCAATATGTTTTCTGTCCATGACACGTGTATTTACTTGACCTACAAAAAACCTACAGGCCGTAATCTGCCGGGATGGTGGTAGCATTACCTTGGTGTCCAATTTAAGGGAAACAGAACCACGGATATGCCTTCAAATTACGCAGAAAATCAAGAGAGCAGCCGAGGAACGCACATCAACTCACTTCTGGTAAAGGGACCGAAATAACATCTCTGACCTTGTGAAACGTGGCGTCTGAGAGCTGCGCTGAGCAAGCGCCTGGGATCTTGGGTGATTCGATATACATATATAAAGTGGGTGGTAGGAACTTGCATCTCTTGTTTTAATAATCCAGACAAGTTGACCTCCTGTGCAAACTCAAGCCTTGCCGAATCTCGGGGCCGCTATAGCACGAAGAAAGGCGAGTATCATTTTTTTCGTAAGCTTCCTGACTGTCTGATTTATATTAGACGCACACTAACCAAATCTTCCTTTGCAAGTTATGCGCAAGGAATATTATTCTCAGTATTCTCCTGCCGATAGAGTCGACGATGACAATGTCAAGCTCCTTGATAGTGGTACAGAAACCAGATCTTCATCAAAATATCGCTTCCTTAACATATTGCCATGGCTAAGCCATGGTGTGCTGATGTTCATGACTACGCTGTTCTTCACGCTATGGGCACGGGCACCTTTGATTGACAGCGTAGCTTTGTACTGTGGGTGGACAAATAGCGTCAACGAAAGGACCTTACTTAATAGTACCATTCGCAGCTCCAGCGAACAAGGCTATTGAATCCATCGGCATAGTAACATTCAATGGAACTCCGGGCGCTCCTTCTATATATCGTGGCAGTCCATCCCCAGAAGTCGAAGCCGCTTGGAATAATATAGCTGTCGATGGTTGTATCGTGCTTCACTCACGCCATATGCGATTATTAATCGGCAATATTATCCAGCGCCAGTTCGCATGACGCTTGAGGAATTGCTCAGAACAGGGGAGAAACCTTCTCCCGATATGGCTAGATATCCAGATGCATATGGCGGAGGTTATATGGCATCGATTGAAAGCAATCACATGCTCCATTGCCTAGTCAGTTTCAAAACAGGGAAGCTAGACTATCTTTGCTCACTCTCGTATAGAACATGCTTCGCAAAGTCACCTGGGGTGACCACTATGGACCCTCTGGGAATGATGTCCACGAATCCCCCGAATACTTCCGCATTCATCTCGGTACGTATACTGTTTCCTGCCCGGCCCATGTCCTGCTTATTTTGTACCTCAGACCACTGCATCGAATTGCTCAGGCAGTACATCTTGTGTCATAGTGACGTGGTCATGATCAGTTACGATTGGGAGCGATCCGACGCTTTTTTTCCCAATTTCAACGTTCGCCATCAATGCAGAGACTTCGAAAAGATCTTGGATTGGGTAGATGAGCATCGCGTTGTTATCCCTAAATCCGAGATGGTTCGCTTGGAGGATACTGTCGACTTGCTTTCCCCTCCTTGATTTTATTCTTGATACAATTTGCTCCCGCTGATGGCTTCGACACGGTTCACGGTTCACTATATGATGGATATATTTTTGTCTGGAGTGCTGAGCACCAAAGTAAGTAACAGCAGACACAAGCTTGCGTTTAGGAGCTGTAGTCGAGTTCATGAATATCAAGTAACATGTACAACAATGGCATGCGAAGCCCACTGGCAGCGGGGTATCAAAATACCTATGGGGATGTAACATCATCGGCGGACACGGGCACACCACCATTGGCCCACGACACATCTACTTTGCGTGATGTAAGTTAGCTACGACGTGCGTAGCTAGAGGCGATGCGAGTGCGAAGGGGGTAGATAGACCGCTGAAGGAATGATAATGATTAGTGTTAGCTTCAAATGACGGATGACGGATGCGAGAGATATCGTGAATCGGTAAACGAGAGTGACCGCGTTATAGCGATGATAAGAGAAGGTAATGAGACGGGTTCTTCGGGGCGTTCTTCTGGGGGATCTACTGTTCTATTCTGCTGCTTATTAGGAATGTACATGGGCTACTTATACTGTAGGATGAGGAAGGGTCGTCCTAGAATAGTTAAAGGCAAGGGCTCGGTGTACTGTCGGTGAAAGCGGTAGCTGAAGGGAGTGGCGTTTGTATTTGATAGTGTAGCGAGAGAATGATATAAGAGTTGTTGACAAGGTGAAGACGGCGGTATTACGAATGGAGGAACAGTAACGACAGGAAGGGTTTAGCGAGCGATAGGAATTGAAAGGATAGGTACTAATAAAAGGGGTCGGGTATCGTGCTTGACAAACGGTCCAGGCGTTGACGTGGTGGTTGCGGTGAGAGGAGTATCGGCATGTTCCGGCGATAAACGTTTGGTAATTCTTACAGTGATACGAAGCTGGGCATTATATGATCTCCTTTGTAGAAGATTTCGAATGCCACGGCGGCATCGAACCGTCGGAGTGCGTGGTGCCAGTCAATACAACTAGCAATTCCTCGCTCTTGCGGAGGGTGGAACCCCTCGATGTATCCCAGCGGATGAAGGAATTTACCATAGTGTACGAACCGACAGTACGCTTGCGGAAATGTTTAATGGGTGAATGTCGGGTAAGGACTCCACTGAGGAGTATTTAAAGGGAAGGTAAACCGCTTGCAGATAAGACAAATAATTTGTTTCTCGCAGTCGGCAGACCTAATAGAAGGAAGACAAAGGTTCCTTATATCAGGGACGAGACGAAGAGAAAATTGGAGAGGGTGATTGGAAGGGAAGGACATATCCTCGAGATACCGGATCGGCGGCCAAAGACTGGGCAAGAGGATATACCGTAACAGAAGGAACGACTGTGCATGAACAACGGAGGACCGTCGGAGGCGAGCAATCGACTTCGTATACATAGGAGGTTGATTACTCTGATCAACACTAAGTAGTCATAGTGAGACATAGATACAAGTGCAGACCTTCACCTGACCTACACCATGGGTTAACCAGTAGCCATTGCAGAAAATGCGATTCTTACTTGCGTCCCGCTGATGCACTCGGAGGCGTACAATCTCTGAAACATCACCTGATGATTTGAAACCAGACCCCTACTTACGATAGCGCGTAGGTCACTTGCGATACGCATTTGCTTCGAATGCGTTCGCTAATAACGGTTGTGGCAGTTGATCAAGCATCTCTTCAAAACAAGCAGAGAGGAGAAAACTCAGGTCTACATGGAATATGGCCCTACTAGCAGCGCAGACGACATTGATGTGGTTCATGGTAACCTGCCCAGGAAGGTTGTAAGCCAACTTGTGGCTGCCGGGAATGAAATGGCAATCCCACCTATCCTCTTTATCATGTAACCTGAAACTAAAGAGAAAAGCGAAAACACCGTTCCTGGTACGCGTAGTACCTGGATATGGCAGACATGGCCAGGTAGCACTCCTCAATACCCAGGTACCAAGTCATATCATGCTTACGGAGGGTCCTAGTGGTACCGAACAGGGTACAAGCATCCGACCAATGACAAGGTGCGAACCTGGACAGAAAGGAGCACTGCTCGAAACGCAGCGACGCCAACTGCAACGATGTCTTCGTTTACATCTAAGTCATCCATGCAGGCGGTGGCCCTGCGACCTCGATGAATGCTCGGTATGTGCCACTATCAAGATAAATGTATCTCGAATGTACCACGCATCGGGGCTACCATGCGAGTCTGCACAAATCGCAAGTAGACGGAAACACATTTGGCACACCATGAGCCACGTGTCGCCTGCAAGTGATTAGGAGTGAATGAGGTAGCCTAGAACTAGTACTGTCGACGATACGTAGTGCGGTTATCGAGTATCAGATCTTGTGGTATCTCTCTCTTTTCCGAGACTCATGCAGACACGGCAAATGGCGTCAGGTAGGGACTTGAAAATAAAAATGAAGACACTCGCACCGATATATCATCTTGACTGTTGACACGTACAGGACAAGGTAAAAGCAAAGTCGCCGCACTCTGCGAGGTCAAAGTCAATGTTAATCTCCGAGACCATTAAGAATGGGGATGTAATGAGGACAATCGATTCATACTAGTGCTACTAGACAAGAACTAGAATGAGAGAGCGAAAACTCGACATTCGAAGAGAAGGAAGAGCTGACCGTAAGTCGGAGAAGAAGCACCTATGTTTCCCACCATCAGGAAAACCCTCCGCTACAAATGTAGGCTAAGTATGTCAAAATTTCTCTAACTTATGACAATTTCAATAAAATAGACAACTTAGCGGTTTAGAGTGATTTTTTTACTGCCCCATGACACCTGTACCTGTAGTGTTGAAGCTTCAAAGTGTCAGATTAGACACAAGCCTTGATGCAAAAATGGCTCTAAACTTGTGAGAGTTGCATGACATTAGTAAACTACTAGACTTTGCACAGTGTTTGCAAATTTCACAGCTCTCACAGCACCACAGAACCTTCACAGAACTCGGAAATGCTGATGTAAGTCATTGTTCAACTTGTCGAAAATTTCAGAAGTCTTTGTTCTACTAAGTTGGTATTGTGGGAAATATAGGTGACTAGGTAGTACCGTTCTGTCTAGAGACTGAGATTATTCGTTCTTACTAGCTCGCTCTGTCCCACTCTCGCCTAGATTCACTTTAGTTCTGTCCCCATACATACTCGGACGTCTGCTCCAGCTCCGTGTCCCTCTTTATATCAAACCTCGATGTCAGCTCAGTCTCTCGCGCCTGCGCACATTGTTGGTGAGGTCCTACGATGAGATTTGATGCGGAGCAAGGCTTACCACGACACGCTTGTCAAGTTCTGTATCTCTTATGATTGCATAAAGTGCTGATGTACCATAGCTGCCCTGCGCACATTGTATGGTGAGGTCAACATGATGACATTTGATGCGAAGCAAGGCTTACTACTTCTACGTCGCGAGCAATCTGTGGAGAATGTATCTCGATGTCAACACGGCAAGACTTGATGCGAAGCAAGGCTTACTGGGACTACTCCAGCGTTGACGCCCAGAAGGGCCGTCAAGCTAAGGAGAACACAGAAAGCAGTAGAGAGGCGGGCGGACATGATGATGGTGAGTTGATCTTAGACTAGAGAGAGTTGTTGGTGTTGTCTGATCTGTGAAGATGCTCGGTTTTTATATTCTACAGAAATCTCCTGAGTCCTAACAAGGTGTTTTGGACTTCCATGCCGATGTGAAGGAATTTCGAAACGTATGACAGTGCTGACAGAATAGTTCCGGCGGCATTCGTCACAGGAGCTCTTTGGCTGTTAATGCATACATACAGAGCCGAAATCGACGAGGAAGGTCACAACCGAGGCACGTTAATGGCAGAGCCGATCCCCAAGTACTTGTCGCAGTTCGTGTACTTTGATCTCGACTGAATGAGATAAATTACACCCATACATTCATAATAGCGCATCCGGAAAAAACATAGATCGTAGCGTCAGGCTCATTATAAACGTCAATAATTCGTGGCCTCAGTCAAATACTATGTGTACCAATTTGTCACGGAGAGCCACGGTGACAGGTGACTAAGCGCCCAAGTAAGTAACAGCTGACACAAGCTTGCGTTTTCAATAGCGAAGCCCAGTGAGGTATCAAATACATGTTGGAATGTAAAATCATCGGCAGGCACGGGAACGCCGCCATTGGCCCACGACTCCGTTCGCTGGGGATCGCGCAGTCTGTTGGTATTAAAATAGATTTTTCGTAATGGGCAGATACGGGTAATTACGTGACACACATCGAAACGTTACTGCGTCAATCACTGGCAAGTACTGTTGTATCTCACTCTTTTGCTAAAACGCAAGGTGGCACGACCTGGCGCGACTTGGAAATTGCCACGTCCAATCCGCATCTTGAATTTCCTCACTGTGGGTGTTGGTGTTATCACCTACTAGTAGCAATCTACGCCCCGAAGGAAATGTATCACACCTCATTCCGACAACTACCTTCAAACAACAGGCCATTTGTGGACGGCTGCTCGGAGCCAGCGCACCAACTGGAGAGCTTGTTTGTGATTTGTCTTCAAATATACTCCAAAGTCGTGGACTTCGGAAAGGCAATATGTTTTCTGTCCATGACACGTGTATTTACTCGACCTACATAAAACGTACAGGCCGTAATCTGCCGGGACGGTAGTAGCATTACCTCGGTGTCCAATTTAAGGGAAGCAGAACCACGGATATGCCTGCAAATTACGCAGAAAATCAAGAGAGCAGCCGAGGAACGCACATCAACTCACTTCGGGTAAAGGGACCGACATAACATCTCTGACCTTGTGAAACGTGGCGTCTGAGAGCTGCGCTGAGCAAGCGCCTGGGATCTTGGGTGATTCGATATACATATATAGAGTGGTAGGAACTTGCATCTTTTGTTTCAATAATCCAGACAAGTTGACCTCCTGCGTCAACTCAAGCCTTGCCGAATCTCTGGGCTGCTATAGTACGAAGAAAGGCGAGTGTCATTTTTTCGTAAGCTCCCTGACTGTCTGATTTATATTAGACGCACACTAACCAAATCTTCCTTTGCAAGTTATGCGCAAGGAATATTATTCTCAGTATTCTCCTGCCGATAGAGTCGACGATGACAGTGCGAAGCTCCTTGATAGTGGTACAGAAACCAGACCTTCATCAAAATCTCGCTTTCTTAACATATTGCCATGGCCAAGCCATGGTGTGCTGGTGTTCATAACTACACTGTTATTCACGCTATGGGCACGGGCACCTTTGATAGACGGCGTAGCTTTGTACTGTGGGTGGACAAATAGCGTCAACGTAAGGACCTTACTTACTAGTACCATTCGCAGCTCCAGCCAACAAGGCTATTGAATCCATCAGCATAATAAGATTCAACGGAACTCCAGGCGCTCCTTCTATATATCGTGGAAGTCTGTCCCCAGAAGTCGAAGCCGCTTGGGATAACATAGCTGTTGATGGTTGTATCATGTTTCACTCACGCCATATGCGATTATTAATCAGCGATATTGTCCAGCGCCAGTTCGCATGACGCTTGAGGAATTGTTCAGCAACATGGCTAGCTGTTCAGATGCATATGGCGGAGGTTATATGACATCGATGGAAAGCAATCACATGGTCCATTGCTTAGTCAGTTTCAAAACATGGAAGCTGTATAGAATATGCTTCGCAAAGTCACCTGGGGCGACCACTATGGGCCCTCTGGTAATGACGTCCACGAATCCCCTGAATACTTCCGCATTCATCTCGGTACGTATACTGTTCCCTGCCCGGCACATGTCCTGTTTATGTTGTACCTCAGACCACTGCATTGAATTGCTCAGGCAGAATATTTTGTGTCATAGTGACGTGGTCACGATCAGTTACGATTGGGAGCGATCCGGAGCTTTTCCCCCCAGTTTCAATGTTCGCCATCAATGCAAAGACTTCGAAAAGATCTTGGATTGGGTGGATGAGCATCGCGTTGTTATCTCTAAATTCGAGATGGTTCGCTTGGAGGATACCGTCGACCTGCTTTCCCCTCCTTGATTGTTCACTATGTGATAGATAAATTTTTATTTGGAGCGCTGAGCACCCAGGTAAGTAACAGCAGACACAAGCTTGCGCTTAGGAGCTGTAGTCGAGTTCATGAATATCAAGTAACATGTACAACAATGGCATGCGAAGCCCAGCGGGGTATCAAAATACCTGTAGGGATGTGATATCATCGGCGGACACGGGCACACCGCCATTGGCCCACGACACATCTACTTTGCGTGGTACGAAGCTGGGCATTATATGATCTCCTTTGCGGAAGGTTTCGAATGCCACGGCGGCATCGAACCGTCAGAGTGCGTGGTGCCAGTCAATACAACTAGCAATTCCTCGCTCTTGCGGAGGGTGGAGCCCCTCAATGTATACCAGCTAATGAAGGAATTTACCATAGTGTACGAACCGATCGTACGCTTGCGGAAATGTTTAATGGGTGAATGACGGGTAAGGACTCCACTGAGGAGTATTTAAAGGGAAGATAAACCGCTTGCAGATAAGACAAATAATTTGATTTTCGCAGTAGGCAGATTTAATAGAAGGAAGAAAACGGCTCCTTATATCAGGGAGGAGACGCAGAGCAAATTGGAGAGGGTGATTGGAGGGGGAGGACATATCCCCGAGATACCGGATCGGCGGCCAAAGACTGGGCAAGCGAATATACCGTAACAGAAGGAACGACTGTGCATGAACAACGGAGGACCGTCGGAGGTGAGTAATCGACTTCGTATACATAGGAGGTTTATTACTTTGATCAACACTAAGTAGTCATAGTGAGACATAGATACAAGTGCAGAACTTCACCTGACCTACACCATGGGTTAACCAGTAGCCATTGCAGAAAATACGATTCTTACTTGCGTCCCGCTGATGCACTCGGAGGCGTACAATCTCTGAAACATCACCTGATGATTTGAAACCAGACCCCTACTTACGATAGCGCGTAGGTCACTTGCGATACGCATTTGCATCGAATGCGTTCGCTAATAACGGTTGTGGCAGTTGATCAAGCATCTCATCGAAACAAGCAGAGAGGAGAAAACTCAGGTCCACATGGAATCTGGCTCTACTAGTAGCGCAGACGACATTGATGTGGTTCATGGGAAACCTGCCCAGGAAGGTCGTAAGTCAACTTGTAGCCGGCGGAAAGCAAATGGAAATACCACCTATCCTCTTTATCATGTAACCTGAAACTAAAGAGAAAAGCGAAAACACTGTTCCTGGTACGCTTAGTACCTGAATATGGCAGACATGACCGGGTAGGACTCCTCCATATCCAGGTACCAAGTTATATCATACTTCCGGAGGGTCCTAGTGGTATCGAACAGGGTACAAGCATCCGACCAATGGCAAGGTGCGAACCTGGAGAGAAAGGAGCACTGCTCGAAACGCAGCGACGTCGACTGCAACGATGTCTTCGTTCACAACTAAGTCATCCATGCAGGCGGTGGCCCTGCGACCTCGATGAACGCCCAGTATGTGCCACTATCAAGATTAATGTATCTCGGAAATACCGCGTATCGGGGCTACCGCGTGGGTCTGCATAAATCTCAAGTAGGCAAGAACATATTCGGCACACCATGAGCCACGTGTCGCCTGCAAGTGACTATGAGTGAATGAGGTAGCGTAGAACTAGTACTGTCGACGATACGTAGTGCGGTTATCGAGTATCAGATCTTGTGGTTCTGTGGCGTCAGGTAGGGACTTGGGGACAGAAACGAAGACACTCGCACCGATATATCATATCAACTGTTGACACGTACAGGACAAGGCAAAAGCAAAGTCGCCGCACTCTGCGAGGTTAAAGTCAATGTGAATCTTCGAGATCGTTTGGAATGGGGATGTAATGAGGACGAATCGATTAATACTAGTACTGCTAGACAAGAACTAGAATGAGAGAGCGGAAGCTCGGCGTTGGAAGAGAAAAAAAAGCTGACCGTAAGTCACGGAGGAAGAGCAGATCGTACATCAACAGAAGGAGTGTGAAGTTCGAGATTCAGCCCCGAGCGACTAGCATGATCGAATGAATAATGATCGATACATCCCGTTCTTTGCATTTAGGTGTCCTTAATGGATATAGTGTTCTAGAGGGTCTTCCAGTGAGAAAGGTGGTAGAGGATCTTGTAGCGCGTGGCCATGGCTTACTTGTGTGGTATGTATAATTGGGGCGATCTGCCAAGGAACGTTCTACATGGTGTGACGAACCTTGATACACTGATATTATTTGCGTACTTGAAATGAATTGGAAGTAGTCGCACTTATCCTCTTTACAAATGCAATTGGAAACCAGAGAGAAAAACGACAACACTGTTCTTGATGTGCTTAGTACCTGATATGGAAGAGTAGTCCGTTCGAAACAGAACCTTTCCACATCCAAGCATCAAGTTATATCATGCTTCTTGGAGTACTGCATAGGGCACATACATGCATTCAGCCAAGGTGCGAACCTGAAGAGCGAAGAGCCTGCTCGAAACCCAGCGACGCCCACTACAAGGATGTCTTTGAGGTTGAGTACATTACTGTAGGTGGTGGCGCTGCGACATCGATGAACGCCAGATATCACGCACTATCACGAGGAATGGCATCATGATATATGCGACATATCGGGGGCGACCGCGTGGGTCTGCACAAATCCCAAGTGGACTGGGGACACACATTTGGAAATGGTGTTGCACGAACCGCGTTTCTCGTGTGAGGTAGCGCAAAACTGTACGATACGTGGTTGACTTTTATCGAGTAGATTTTATGATGTCTCGATGCTGGGACTGCTACGAAGATGGAGGTAAGTAGGGACATCATTTTTTTAAAACAAAAACGAAGGCAGTCGCATCGATATCAACTGTTGATACGTACGGGAAAAGGCGAGTTGTGCACTCTGCGGGGTCAATCTCCGATCGACCGTTTGAAGGATGAGAATAAAATGAGAGAGGGACACTCGGCGTTGGAAGAGATGGAGGAGCGAATTGTACGTCAAAGAAAGGCTTTTGAAGTTTGAGATTTAATTCTGTCGATGACCGTAGTACTAGCTAGTTTGCTAGAGGGTATCTAGAGGGTGAATACTACAAATTTTGTGCAACTCGGTGAAAAAGAACGGATGCGCCAAGGATGCGCCGCCAAAGTTTGGGGCGCGTGGCTTACTTAAGTAGGGCCGGCATAATTTCAAGTGACCGATATAGCAAAGGGAAGCCTCGGTAGCACTATGCCTCGGTCGAGGTGGAGACGGAACTACGATCGATCAGCTGTGAGTTTGAGCGGGAGACTAACCTGTGCAGGGATTTCAGTAGGGTATAAGTGGGGGGACCTGCAGCTGTCAAGGAACCTGATTAATGATAGTACCAATTGACGATGACTGAACATCGTGCTATGGATGAAGCTCACGAAGGGTCTCTTCCAACTCTTCATTCCGAGCCCCCGCTTGCGTCCGCTCTCACCCCTTCGTCCGGCGGTCTCGCTAACCCGTTCAGTGAACTCTATGGGGCCATATCTGGACGGGGAGAGACGGCCTCGATGGATGTCAAGGTTTTCTTCCCGCATGCGAAACAACCTCGTCATGATCATATGGCTCTACACGTGCGAAAAGACGCAACTATTGAAGAAGTCATTGGTTTTGCATTATGGACGTACTGGGAAGAGCGATGGATGCCCGAGCTGAATGACGGTGTGAAGGACGATGACCCGAAACTCTCTGCGATAGGTTGGATCATGCGCATTGCAGAGCATGATGGTGAGGTTGATGAGGATTTCCCGCGTATGTCTTCGTTCTTCGCTTGGCGTAGGATAAGATTCATAGTTTTTTTGCACAGCACCCGACCGCACAGGCAAGATCTCGAAGTTCGGATCCAAGGCAGTTGCTATGCTAGCTGCTACCCCACTTCAAAGTACAGCACCTTTTCTTTGTTTATCAAAGCTAATTATCTTCCTCAGTACAACACAATGAAGAACTGGAGAGAAATATACAGCGACGTCCTTCGAGAGTTATGGCAGTACCAAAGAAACAGGATTCAGGACCACCAGGCGGATTGGCGTTGCCATCCGTCTCCAGCGCCGCAGGCACCATGTTCGGTACAACTCCAAATTTATCATCTTCTCTTGGTCCTTCGTCAAACTATGGGCCTCAGCTGTTCTTGCGTATTTGCATCGCGATCTCAGATGCAGGTCGTTTCTCCAGCACCATCCCTGTGTAAGTTGGATTTGCCGATGCTGCCCTTTCTCTCCTCATTCAACGAACACAGGTCAGCGGGTATGTACATGCAGGAAGTACTTGAAGTGATTTGTCGGAAGCGCAGACTGGCGAATCACGAGGACTATGCTCTGATCGTCAACGAACTCAACATGCTAGCGTACCTCGACCGCACAGTTGCTAGTCTCGGCGGTAGGCGCGAGCTGACGCTGGTAAAGAGATCGACGTTGCCTCAACTGGGCATCAAGCCCGAAAGCAGTTCAGCACGCACCACGGATCCGAATGGTACTAGTAACCATCCATCGTGTACTCAGTACAGCTACTAAGTGTTTTTGTTTCTCCAGCTTCTATTTCGAAACGGATATCGGATGTCCCAGAGATGCAGTTAAGCGCTCCAGCCGATTACGCAACAGCATATAATGTTTCCCTTTCCTGATGAGCGTCCCTCACGGTTGTGAATGAAAAAATTGATAAAGAAATATACTATTTACCGTAAAATGCCTATGCTAGTTCGTCAGACGTACTTTGGCTATCGATGGTGTTTATATACGTATAAGTTCCTCCATCATCGCAAAAACTCTGCAAGTCTCCTGAAGTAGTGGGTGTCGCAGAAAGTGTATCGCCATGGCGAGGGAATGGTTTGGTGAAGGTAAACTTGGTACCGAGCCAGGCTTGGCGAGGGGGGAGTAGGCGCTGTGCAGACCATGGCTGTTGTTGAGGCTGTTGGGGACTTTGGGGGAGGCTGTTGCTACGACCGTGACTGGGGCGGCTGTTGTGTTATGATCATGATAGGGCTGGCTTGGCGTTGTTGAGCGAGGGCCGCAGCAAGCCATTCGTATATGAACTGAGTATTTCGGGAAACCAGCGACCAATGTGAGCAAAGAAAAGAGTTTAGAATCATCCCGTAGGTGTGGTGTTGATATTGAGCAGCATCAGTATTCTTCCATGTAGCTATTGACAGCTGGCTTGGAGTGTGAGTGACGGCGACTGAAGCAGCGAACTGGCTTGAGCTTGCACTAGGCTGCTTCCTTTAGAAGGTCGTTCTTCGTGCTCTAGTACTATCCTGTGTAGGATGAACGGTATGGCTGGTGGCGGTAGGGCGTGGCCTTAAGTAGGGCCGGTAACTTTAAGTGACCGTTTACTGCTGAATACAGGGACGTCTCAATCGAGGTAAAGACGCGAGTCCGATCATCTCAACTGCGCTTGAAGGTAATCCTACATGGATTTTAGCTCAGATCATTTCAGTGGACTAGTATAATTTGGATGGAGCGATCTGTGCGAAAGAACGTGATTCATGAGACGAACCTTGATACACCGATACTCTTTGCCTGAGGATAGTCGTGAGTCAACCTGTGGCTGACAGTAGATGCAGTAGTCCCGCATATCCTCTTCATCATGCGATCAGAAACTAGAGAGAAAACGATCATAGCGACAACACCGTTCTCGGTATGCTTAGCACCTGCATATGGCAGAGTGGCACGGCAGGAAGTCAGGACGTGTCCACATATCCAGGCACCATGTTATATCATGCTTCGTGGATGGTCCTAGCGGTATCGCACAGGGTCCGAAGAGGCATCGCGAAACCAGAAAGTGAAATGCAACGACGCCAACTGCAACGATGTCCTCATCATCATGAAGACGTCAATTCAGGTGGCGGCGCTGCGACCCCGACGAAAGCTCGATATCATGCACTATCAAGAGGAATGATCTCATGACAGACACATCATATTATGGGCTACCTGTGGATCTACACACGTCCCGAGTGACCGCAAACGCAACTCCCAAGTAGACTGAGAACGCATATTTGGCAGCGGTATTGCCTGAGCCACGTCTTTTCTGCGAGTGACTGGGAGGAGTAGTAAATGAGGTAGTGCAGAACTAGTACTGTCAAGGATACGTGGCGCAGTTATCGAGTAGATGCCTCCTTTCAGGGGCTGATGTAGACTCGGTTAAATACGAAAATAGCGCCAGGTAGGGATATGAATCTCGAAAACCAAGGCACCCGCACTGATAAATCATATCGACATGTTACGTGCGGGGAGAGGCAAAGACAAAGTCGCCGCACTCTGCAAGGTTAATGATAATGTGAATCTGCGAGACCATTGGGGGATGTGATGAGGTCGAGCCTATCCATACTAGCAATGCTAGACAAAAATTAGAACGAGATGGGAAGCTCTGCGTTGGGAGAGAAGGAAGAGCTGACCGTAAGTCAAGAGAGGAACTTCCAAGTTCAAGGTCTAAGACTGAGTGGCTGGCATGATCGAATGATGTATGAATAACGATTGACGGATCTCATTCTTTTCAGCGAGGCGTTGTTGATGAATGTAGTGTTCTAGAGGGTCTAGCAGTGAGAAAGATGGTAGCGAATCTTTCGGGCGCGTGGCCATGGCTTACTTGAGTGGTATGTATAATTAGGACGAGCTGTGCCAAGGAACGTGATTCATGATGACGAACCTTTATACACCGATACGCTTCGCCTACAAGGATAGAGTAAGTAACTTGTAGCTATCAGGAAGGAAGGAGCAACAATCCCACTTATCTTCTTCCACGTGGCATCGGAAACTAGAGAGAAAAATGAAAACACTGCTCCTGGTGTACTGTCGAGACCTGGATATGCAAGAGTGATATTCGAACTTATCCAGGCACCAAGTTATACCATCCTTCATGGTGGGTTCTAGCGGTACCGAACAGGGTACAGACATCCAACCAAGATACAAACCTAGAGGACGAAGAGCCTACTCGAAACGCAACGACGCCAACTACAAGGATTTCTTCAGCCTGGAGAGTACATCAATGAAGGTGGTGGCGCTGCGATATCGATGGACACTCGACATGTGCCACTATCAAGATGAATGAACCTCATGACAGACATGTCATATCGGGGGCTACCTGTGGGTCTGCAACAAATCCCAAACGGACTGAGGATGCAGATTTGGTAGCGGTATTGCCTGGGCCGCATTTTTTCTGCAAGACCAGATTAGGAGGAGCAATAGAAGTAGTACGTTACGTGGTTGGCGTTTATCGAGTAGACCTTGTGATGTCTCGATTCTGGAACACTCGCGTCGATATCAACGATTGTCACGTAAAAGGCAAGTCGCGCACTCTGTGAGGTTCATCACCAGTTGAGGATGTGATGATCATGGGGAGAGTCGATCCATACTGCAGGATAAGAATAAAAATGAGGGAGTGGAAGCTGGGCGGGGGAAGAGATGGAAGAGTAGATTAATATTGTGCATCAAAAAGGCCTTTGAAGTTCGAGATCTAGCACCGGCCACCGGTATGATCGATTGACATACGGAATGAAGAGTGATGTATCTCGTTCTTTGCAGCAAGGTGGATGTAGTGGTAGCTACAGATGATTCTCCAAACGAACATTGTGCAAGAGAGAGCTTGGAGCGGGCTTACTTAAGTAGGGCCGGCATAATTTCAAGTGACCGGTATAGCAGCACGTTTCACTGAGGAGCACTCAGCGCTGAAATGCCTGTGCAGGGATTTCAATCGAGTAGTGTAATTAGGACGACTTGTGCTAAGGAATATGTAGGACTGCGAATCAATTAACTACCCGCATCCACTCTCTTGAAACCGGGGTGTACACGAACTACGCTTTCTCAGACAGTTGAGTGGGATGAAGGTTCAGTAAATACAAATACAACCCCTCATCCTGCTCTTCCTTTCCCGCTGAGCAAGGGGTCCGTTTCCCTGGTTACCCCTCCCAGTACAATGAGAACGCTGCTAATGAATGCACTAGCGTGACCGAATCTTGGCGATATCGCTCCACCTAACTCAACAAAAGTCGCGCCATATCACAGGTAGAAAAACATACAAGTTATTACGCTGTTTGGACCTGATCACCAAAGAGATACAATTCTCCTGAAGTAGTGGATGTTGCGGAAAATGTGTGACCATAACAGGGGAATGATGAAGGTGAAGGTGGACTTGGTGCCTTGGGAAAAATGGGAGCCACGTTTCTCGCGTGGGTTACTGAGAGGGGTGAAAGAACTGTACGATACGTGGTGTCTCTATTTTGGGAATGATGCATGCGGACACGAAAATGGCCCATGGGTCTAGTAGGGGAAAAATCTTGTTTGAAAACGAAATCAAAGGCACTCGCGCCGATATCAACTGTTATCGCGTACGGGAAAACGCGAGTCGTGCACTCTACGATTTGATACCACAAAGCACTTATCGCACCGAACTACGCCCCGCTGGGTTTTGCATGCCATTGTTGCATGTCACATGAACTCGAATGCAACTCCAAAACGCAAGCTTGTGTCTACTGTTACTTACTTGGGTGCTCAGCGCTCAGCTCTCCACCGTCAGTGTTACTGCGACTCTCCGTGACAAATTAGTACACGTAATGTTCGACTGAGGCCACGAAGCACTAGACTGGTGACCAGTCCAACGAGGCACTGACACTTATAACATTGGCACAACGCTACCATTTAATTAGCGATGATGTTTTTTTTGTCAGATGCGCTGTTATCTGTGTGCAAGTATGAATTATCTCATTGAATTGAAAGCAAAATACACGGACCGCGATTGGTAGCACCTGAGGCCTGAGGACCGGCCCTGCCACGAACATTATGACCCTATTATAGAGTATTCGTTCCTCCTCCATTTGGGCACTGCACGTTTGTGTTAACAGCCAAAGAGCTCCTTCGACGAATGCCGTCGGAACAACTCATACCAATTATGCCAGCACTGTCATGAAATTCCGTTACGTCGACATGGAAGAAGTCCAAAACACTCTGTTAGGAGCTTTCTGTGGAATATAAAAACTGAGCATACTAGTCACCCATAAGGCAACACCATCAACTCTCTCCAGTCTAAGATCAACTCACTATCATGTTTGCCCGCCTCTCCACTGGTTTCTGTGTCCTCCTCAGCTTGACGGCCCTTCTGGACGTCAACGCTGGAATAGTCCCAGTAAGTCTTGCTTCGCATCAAGTCTTGTCGTGTTGACATCGAGATACATTCTCCATAGGTTGCTCGCGAGGTAGGAGTAGTAAGCCTTGCTATGTCATCATGCTGACCTCACCATACAACGTGCGCAGGGCAACTATGGTGCATCAGAACTCTATGCAATCATAAGAGATATCGATCTTAGCAAGCGTGCCGATGTCGTGGTTAGTAAGCCTTGCTCCGCATCGGATCTCATGGTGCTGACCTCACCATACAATGTGCGCAGGGAAACAATCCAGAGCCAGACCCAGGAAAACCAATAGTCGACCTTGATAAACGTGCCGGTGTCGTGGTGGTAAGCCTTGTTCCACATCTAATCTCGTCGGGCTCACCTCTGTGCGCAGGGCAACAATCCAGAGCCAGACCCAGGCAAACCAACAGTCGGCCTTGACAAACGTGCCGGTGTCGTGGTCGTAAGCCTTTCTCCACATCGAATCTCGTCGTGCTCACCTCTGCACAGGGCAACAATCCAGAGCCAGACCCAGGCAAACCAACAGTCGGCTTTGACAAACGTGCCGGTGTCGTGGTGGTAAACCTTGCTCCACATCGAATCTCGTCGTGCTCACCTCTGCACAGGGCAACAATCCAGAGCCAGACCCAGGCAAACCAACAGTCGGCCTTGACAAGCGTGCCAGTGTCATATGAGTGGCAAGCCTTGCTCCGCATCAAATCTCATCGCGTTGACCTTACCATACAATGTGTGCAGGAGCCATCGTCTGAACTGACGTCGGGGTTTGAACCTTGGGGAGCTTGGTGCGACTGTTGTGTTATGATTACAATGGGGCTGGCTTGGCGTTGTTGAGCGAGGACTATTCGTGGTATCTGAATTAAGATTAAGTATTTGCAACAAGCGATGTATGTCGAGTATCGTAGATCTTGTGACGTCTTTTCTGCAGACTTAGCTACGCAAATGGCCCGTCAGGTAGTATGGGAAAGCCGGAGCACCGTGCTCGTTTAGTCAGCATTTTTGGTCACGTGCATTGCCTAATAAGGCAAAGAGCTTCGACAGGACTCTTGACACACCTCCAACCCCAGGCTCCTTCCCACCCACTGGTGGAGAGGTAAGGGAGGTGGTCTACGAGAGCAGTAGTGTAATTTTTGGAAACCGGAAACATCCACAAACCTTTCAAACCCAGCCCAACCTTATCCTCCCAACCTCTCCACCAGTGGCTGGAACAAAATGTTTGTAAACAAGGTCAGCCACAGTTGCACAACCCCAGAAAGAGACAGTGGAGTTGAATTAGATCAATGAAATATTGTAATGCTAATGAATTAATATATATATCAATATGTCATTAACTGACTCAGTGGACAAAGTTCTTGAAATGCTGCAGCGCGTTGGCATTTCAGCATTGCAATTTATACTGGTGCTTCTCTCAAGTGAAAAACCTAGCACTCATCTGGCTGTCAATGATATTCTCTCTAAGTTGTAAGGGCGCAGTGGTATAGAGTGAAATTGGAATGACGCGGTGGATTATGGCAACAACTTCCCTGGCCAAATTGTTGTTGACAGACTAGTGTGTCTCCTTGTGGAGATCCTGGATAACTCTGATTTTCTCATGATGGGCGCAGTCAATGATCCGGTCAAGAACTGAGTCACCCATTACAACAGTTGGGCCAAGGTCAATAAGGGGTGAGCGTCCATAAATCTCCACTGTCTTCTGGTCTCTCCAATCTTCCAGTGCCTCACATAACTTGTACTCCTGTGGGCCCATGGTATATTTCGCAAGTCGTGAGTGGATGGGAAGTCTGGGCGGTTGTGGGATGACAGTATCAGATGATGAGAATGCCAAAGGGTGATGGATGTCACAGCACACAATAGGAATTACGGGCGCACAATGTGAGCAGCCTTCTGCATCTGATGGGTCACATATAAGGTGACTCAAATCTACAAATATTATCACATTAATTTATTAATGCATTATAGGAAAGTCTCACCCACTGATCCATTATTGAATTGGATATCAAATACCTTATGACGACACCCAGTGCCACGAAAATTGGCATTGATTAGCAAGTCCATTGCCCAATCCAATTCCTTCTCTCTCTTCTGCTTAGATGTCCTCTCTGATACACCTGCCAGCATTCTCATTGATTCCCTCAACTGCGCATCAGTAACTATAGGTGCATTTCCTGCTGAACTACTAGTAGCCTGACCGCCATCCTGTGTAATACTAACAGCAGTTGAACTATCAACTAAGCAGCGTTTAGCAGCTGGTTGATTATCGGGTGCACTTGTTGCCTTTTTTTATGCTCCTGATGCTTGCACTTATCTTCACGTACATTGTCAAAATACTCCTTTTCTGCAAACAGCAATGCAGTCCCTTGCAATGTGCAGTCTCTTGCTGCACGACCAAACTGCTGCCAAAGGGCAGACAACTTGCACGATGCTCGCCACTGAATGACCAAAGTCATGTCCGGTACATCCATTCCCTGTGCAGTGATCAATATTTGCTGGACATCATGCTTGCATGCCTCACCATTCCAAATGCCTCTGTGGTGCACAGACCCCATGTATCTCCAGCAATGAGGTTTGTGACTTCGGCCTCTTTGAATTCAGTAGTCATATTGGGTGGGCTGTGAGGCAGGTGATGGCTTGGTGACAGAAGTTCTGTAGCAGTAAAGTGATGGGGAGGATGTTAGCATGCACTTCGAGTAGGTCAGTAGTGGTACTTCTCATGGCTCCAGTAATGGACAGTAACACATTGTGTTGTACTGATGATAGGCATTTTGCGACTCCCAGTGAACCTCTTTGTGGAATATCCAATCCATCTTTGAAGGTGGGTGAGTACCACAAGTCGGCGGCATATAGCATCTTAGGGATGGCGACTGTGTGATAGATCTGATGCATGAGGCGCATTGGAATACCTTTTGTTGTTGTGGATAGGCATTTGATATGCATCACATATGCCGTTCCCTGAGCTATAGTGTTATTGACTTGGGCCTTCCATCTTAGTTCATGATTGAGGATGATGCCTAGAAATTTGTGGGTTGGAGATGGTTGGACAACAACTCCTTGTATGTTCATATTCAGGCGAGTTCGTTTCCTATTCATTGAGAAGTCCATTAATGCAATTTTACTAGTTTCAAATAATGAGTTGTGATTACATGACCATTCAAAACCACCCCCTTGTCTTTCTAGCATGTCTTGGAGTATCTCATGCATGGTGATAAAGTCTTTTGCAATCGCCACAAAGGTTGTATCATCTATGAATGCAAGTGTTAGTTCTTTGAGCGCTTCTCTACCTTTCCTTTTCTTGGCAACCTCAACGAGATCAGAATTATAGTTGATATAAAGTATCATGGACAGTGGATCCCCTTGACCGATCCTGTTATTGATCGGTATCCAATCTGATGTGTACCCATCAAATCGAAGTTGAGTTTTCCTACCTGTTAATAGATGTTCCGTGAAATCTACCAGTTCTCTTGGGATCTTGTGCATCTTCATATTATGAAGCAGGCATTTAGTCACCGCGTTTGGAAAGGCACCCTCTATGTCCAAGAAAAGCACCAAGGCTACTTTATGAGAACGCCAGGCATTTTTGATCGTTTCCTCTAGGAGATGTAGGGAGTCTGTAGTGGACCTCCCTGGACGCCTGCCAAAGTGGGTATTTGGCAGTAATTGATGTCTCTCTAAGAGGTATGTCAGTTGCTCTGCAACTACTGCTGTCAGCAGTTTGCATGTGGTGTTGAGTAGTGTGATTGGTTGGTATGCTTTCGGAGTGGTGTAGTTGGGCTTTCCGGGTTTGCGGAGGACGACCGTTGTGAATTTCTGCCAGGGTTCGTAGTATGTGCAGTAGGTGAATACTGTGTTGAAAAGGTGAACTAGGTACAGGGCGAGGATTTTGCTGCATTGTTTGAAAACGATGTTACATATTCCATCCAGCCCCAGCACCTTGTATCCGCTGAGATTGGTGATTGCGTGATGGATCTGTTTGAGGGTGAATGGTGTGTGATTGACTATGGGATCTGGGTAAATTTGGTCAGCTGGGACTGAGTCATTAGGAGGAGGGGTGGAAACAAAGCCTCCGCTATCATTTTTCCCTTCTCTGTGTTGGTGTTTGCGGTGACTATGGTACTGTCTGGTCTGGTTTTTGATAGGGTAGGGATGCGAGTTTTTCCTCTGTCGCTAGGAGCAGAGGTGACGTATTTGTTGGCAGTCCATATGTTGTTTCCTTCAATATCTTCTAACCATTCCAGCCAGTGTTGCTTCTTGGTAGTCGTGATTGCATCTGCATAGACCTTCTTCGTGGCCTTAAGCTCGTCATGTGAGTGGTGCGTGGGCAGGCCTCTCATTTGATATGCCAGGTTATGCAGGCGGTTGACATTTTTGCGAAGTTTTGTGAGGTCGCGGGTCCACCAGCATTTTGAGTGAGGGCAAGGTTTGGACCGTGGTACATGTTGGTCCCTTGCCTTGGTGATGGCATTGGTGAGACGTTCTGCCACTTGTTGAAACTCCTTGTCAGATGCTAATGGTAGGGGAGGATGAGGGGAAAGGAGATCACTTAGTGTTTCATTGAAGTTTTCCCATTCTACATCTCTCCAGTTCCTTCTAGGTTCGTCAACAGATTTGGAGGTCTCAAGTTCTAGATCGAGTTGGATTGGAACGTGGTCGGTCTTGGGCCCTCGGAACGCCAGTGCTGTGTCACATGAGATGATGGCCTCCATTCTGTGTTCAGATCCAAACACATTATCCAGATGTGTCCAGTTGCCAGTGCTCGTTGATTGAAGGGTAGGGAGACCGAGAGGGAGTAGTTGAATCATACCATAGTCAGTGATCATGTCAATTATCAGTTGTGCCGCTGGATAATTGAAGAGATGTTGATTATGTGATTCCTCCCATATTGGGTGATGACACTTGAAGTCCCCCATCCAGAGCATGTGGTCGTCTGCTGATGGGTGAAGCATTGCAATATTTTGTTCAAGGTGGGCACTAAGAGTGAGCAGGGTGTCCTGTTTCTCACAGTCATTGTATATATTGAGGATTGAGCAATTGCCAAAGGTTCCAGAGATTTGTAGAATGACGACGTCGGATGATGGGAATGGGAGTTGAGACCATGAATTAGTGTCTAGTGTGGAGTTAATGAGGGTGATGGCCCACAATCATTTCTGTGGGTGGGTATAATGGTGCGATGGGTATAGCACGTGCCAGCGGTGGTTCACTTTGGTATTACAGAGGAAATTAATATATGGTTCTTGTATCACGAGTACATCCCAATCAGTGATCTGGGGGCTGTTGAGAAGGGATTCTTGGGTGACCATTGAGGTATTCAGATTTTGCTGCCAAATCTTTAGCCTGATGGTGTTGGAGTCTGGTTGTTCAGACATTAGAAAGGTCTGAGGGGTTCTCGCTAGATTCTTCATGTTCTTCGGATGGGAGTGGCACAAAGCAGTTGTTATTGGAGGGGGGAGGGGGAGAAGGGGGGGTGGGTGGGTTCGGTTGGGATTGGGATTGGGGAGGGTGAGAATGGTGGCGATGAGGAGAGTCGTGTTGATATGAGAGAGTGGTTTGAAGTAGAACTCGCTGGTTGGATTCCGAGGGATGATGCAGCATGTCAGAGGGTAGGAAGGGGGGAGCAATTGACAAGTGCCTGGTTTGTGGACAGGAGGGGTGTGCGAGTTGTGTCCAGGGAGTTTCAGTTGGGAAGTACAGCATATGGTTTTCTGGGAATTTGTCATCTAGTAATTGACATTGCTGTTTGAATATTTTGCATTTTCGGCTCCAACTGGTATGATAGGTACTTCTGCAGTTGACGCAGTACTCTGATCTGAATGCATTGCAGTTGGAGGTGCGGTGTTCTCCCCTGCAGGTGCTGCAGATGTCCTTGGGAGCCGAGCAATTGCATGTGATGTGTCCGTATCTCTGACATTTCGCGCAGCGTAATGGTTCCTTCCTGTCCTTGCGGATTGGGAAGTGTTTGTTCTGGATGCATAGACCATCCTTGATGATGGTGTTGGCTGTAGGTGTGTCAGCTACTTGAATGAGTGCAAATGCTTTCTGTTGTTCCTGAGATCTCCTCATTGGAGATTTGATCCAACAGACTGATACTAGTGAGTTCTCTGGGAGGCTGTTTTCTTGTTCTACTGCCCGAAGGAAGTTTTCTCCCTCAATCTGCATCTGGATGGGTAGGTACTCTGCTACAAGGGGGAAAGAGCGAGTGCGGAATGATACTGTTGGTCTGAGTTCTGCTAGTAGAGCTGATCTGCCTTCAGGTATCCTCAGCCATGCTGCGAGGGTTTCGCTTTCCAATTCTACTATGACACCTCCATTGTGAAAGGTAGATACTGCTCTAATGTCGCCTTCCGGGGTGGAGTCATTTCGGATCTTCGCTAGAGCTTCCTTGATGGCTTTTACGACTTCTCTGTGTGACATTCCTGGCAGGAATAGGGTATTGCCTGGTATTGGGTCGAGCAAGATTTGGCGCGCTCAAATGGCTGCCCTCGCCATTGCCTGATCAACGGATGGTGGGAGATGGGTGGCTGTGATTAAGCTATAGGATGGTGCTGGGGATTGGGATGGTTGAGAGGCGATGGGTCTGGTGGGTCTGTCTAGGAGTTGGGTAGACAGGGTGTTAAGACGTTGTTGTGTGGTGTAAAGGGAGGGTGAAAGAAGTTTCATCGCATTGTGACAGTCCTTGACTGATTCATAGAGGGCATCCACTGCTGTTTCTATTCTCTCTGCTGCCATTTGTACTTCATTCTCTTTCTCTACACGCTCCCGTTCCATAGCACTTCATAATTGCTCTGCTTGATTGATAGAACCTGCCATAGTCTCGGATGCATTAAGGACCTTCCTGATTTGTGGTGCTAACATGGCGATTACGTGATCTACTATTTTTGGGGTCAGGCTGTTGACTAGCTGCACGGTAGTGAGCTCAGCGATTTTGCAGGCTGCATGTTTCTTCAGGATGAAGGCTACTGCTCTCATGGCAGAGGCGATGGGGAGTGGGACACCTTTGAGTTGGGTAGCATGGAAAAGGACTGAGGTTAGGTGTATTAATGTGAATGGCTGGTCAACATGGCACAGGAGATTCTTGGTGAGGTAGTCCTTTGCTGAATCAATATCCATTACAGTGCTGGGGGTTATTTTGATTTCTTCCTGGGTTAAGGTGGGTCTACTGGACTGTCTAGTGGTTATGCTTGTTGCTGGGGGGGTTATTAGGTTGGCCAGTGCCTGTATGGGTGTTTTTCTTTCCCATGGACATGTGCTGAGTTGATTTGGTGGTTTATTCATGGTTTGAAGACTTTGGGCGCGCCTTGGGGCGTCTTCAACGCCTTTGGACATGCTGTTGAGAACTTATTTTTCAGGGTCTTAGTTGGGGTGCCACTTGGCATGAGACCAAGAGGCGATTTGGTGATGAGGCTTGTCCTGTTCATCATCAGTATCAACAAATTCCACACTCTTATGCACCATCTTCCTTCCATTCTGAGTTCCTGCAGGCTGTTTGTGTTTTTTCCCTTGTCAGATCGAGTGTGCTGGCATTGATCAACAATATCACCCCTTTTGAGCCCTTCGTCACGCTCCCAATGAAGCCACTCAAATTCTTCATCATCATTGGCCTTCCATAAGAGCATCTCAAGGTCTGGAATAGCACTCGATATATTACTAAGGTTGGTGAAGGGAATGTTGTTCGGCCACCCTTCGACCACCACTTGGTAGCATTGAATAACATTGTGGAAGTAGTGAACCCACTGCATCTTGGCACAATTGTTACTGGTAAGGTCCTCTGTTGACGAAAATAGGTTAAGAAGCACACTACTACCAGCAGAATGAAATAAAACTTACGTAGCTTGCTGTTCATGATATCACAGATTGATGAACACAACCCAGAGACACGCTGTTGGTGATTCTTGGCAGCACCTGGATATCAATATTAGAAAATAGATACCAACTCAATGTGCAAACACAGACCTTTTATTCCTTGGACTGCAAATCCTTCCATCTTGCTTATCAGATCCTGACTATCAATTCCCATCACAGAACCCATGAATTGTTGAATGCCCTCAGTGGCAAAGGTAAGTCCTTGAAGGGGAAGGTTTGTTGAGCCTCATGTTGTGTACAGGATGGTTTCTGCACCTGTATGACATTTAAGACTGCTAAGCTGGTATGAGTTAGGATTAGTGAAACCAAAAATCAGTAGAAATGATCACTAACCTCTTCTCAATAAGCTTCAAAGTCTGTGTGATGTCATTAATCTTCAACCTTATAGAGATACACAAGCCTGTAGTCCTGGTCTCCTTTAAGTCAGCAAACTCCTTCATAAGCTTGTCTTGCTCCTCCTTTGACAGTGGATGATATTCTTCCTTGTGGTCAGCCTTACTGAGGCCACTTGTTGAGGTGTCATATTAGGGTGTGTTATAGCAAGAACAAATAAACTTACTATTTTCTTTTTCCTGATTTTTCTTCCAGCAAAAAGTGTTTCAGAGATTAGGCTTCACACGCCTTGAGCACAGTGCACCAAGACCAAAGTATAAATTATTCTGGGCACATTGAATACATTTATGGTGGGAGCCTGCAATGGTCTTGGTTAGCTGATCAATCTGGCTCCAAGCATCATTGAGGGCATCTTTGAATAGGTGAGACTTCTCGCATTGCTTGAATCTCCATGCTGCTCAAGCTTCTTTGCTGAGAGAGACCATGGGATGAGTGTGAAGTGGCATCTGAACACAATGTTGACTGCCAGTGCACTTAGTGGCATAGAAGGACTGGCCTGTAACCATGATGGGTTAGTGTGTCTGTGAACTTTTCAAGGTTGAGCTCCAGCTTTTAAACATACCAAAGGTGTGTTTAGTTATGTGGGTTGATGATCTATGAAGCAAGGAACCATCAATGCATATATTGAGTCTATGGCACACCTTCAAGATCTACATGAATAAAAACCCAAACGAGTATAGTGCACATAAAAAAACTAGAATGCCAAGGATGTTCAAGATGCTAGTGAGAATGGACATTGACAGTGACTAATTAAAGAAAAATTAGAATGGAAGTTAGACTATAAACAAATTACTGACCTTGACAACATCAGGGTTGAGTGGTACACCTTGTAACTCAGCAAGAAGGGCCTTCAACAACAAGGAAGCTTGCTCATAGGATAAATCCCACTTCAGAGATCTGAAGACAGATTTCCATTGGCTGCTATGGATGGTGCTGGCTAAAACTTGCAGCTTGGGCAAAATCTCATCCCCAAGCTTGAATCAATCAAGCACTACATCAGTGTTTGGTCCAACACTAATGAGCATTGGCCCAACCAAATTAGTACTATCACACAGAATATCCAATTGACCTTGGCACAATAAAATCAGAGCCACTAAGCTATCGCCAGTGTTCCTGCTACTAAGAAATACATCTGCAGGTCACCATTGACGGATCTGATGTTGTGTGGCACTTGTTACACTATGGCAAATAGTGGCCAATGGTGTGTTGGCCACTTTTGCATCTGAGGGAGCTTGCAAGGCACTCACAAACATATGAGGTGCTTGTGCAGAGCACTGGGTATGAGCACCAGTAGCAACCATGGGTGCTGGCAAATATTGTGGTCCATTGGGACTGATGTACGCAGCAGGGACTATAGTATCAAGTCAGTGAGGCTCAGAAAAACACAAGGAATAAGAACTTGCAATACTTAGGCAGTTTCACTTTCTCAGCAGTGCAATGTTGCATGAAACGATGGAGATGTGAAACAGCAAACTCCAGCATGAAGGCCTGGACCAAAATGGCAATGACTCCACCAATGTGCTGGCCAGTTTCTTGCAATTCATGGGGTGTGATATAAAGGTCGATGGGCACTTGTTCTGGTGAGATGTTGGGGCCTGCTTCATTGCCAGCACAACAAATCAGAAGGGAGATGCCACCATTGAGATGGTCTTGCATGGTGATCTAGAAAGCAAATGAGATTTAACAAAGAAAATTAAGAAATATAACTCACTGTATCAAAAACATCCTGCAGTGTCGCTTCTAAGAGGTCATCCTGGATAAGAACCCTCTGATCTGTCTGTTCCACAGCAGGGTTGAATGCAATGTAAGACAGATGAAGACCCCTGGCTGTTTTCATCTGATAATGAGTGCCATCAATGTGTGCATTATGCCTGAGTAATGCCCTCATGGATGCTTGCTGTTCATTATTGCTGAAGCCCTCCACAAACTGTGAAGTATAAAGAGCAGTAATGCCACACATAGAAAAGCAACTGGTGAAGCCTGCAGTTTGAGATGGGGAGTCAGACTGCAGGGTGACAGAGGGTGTTTTTCTTCTTCCTTGAAGCAGTTATACTCCTCACCACCAATTTCCCATTGTGCATCTACACAGAGCTGAGATTCCATATGAGCCACTAGTGCCTCCACATGCTGTAGTTTAGCATAGGATGAATCAACCCAAATACAGGCAACTGTGAGAGCTTGGTTGATCTGTGCTAGTGTTAGGAACTGTGCTCAGACAGAGAAGTGGAGGGGTCAGGGCTTGGCTTCAGCTCTTGCACTGTGCCCTTAGCTGAGTACATGCCTTAAATTTGGAGTGGGTCCGACGATGTCCGATGATAGGATAGGCAGACCGCTTTGGTCCACTTTGTGGGTCAGGAGGTAAATGCTACTAGCGGTGATCCGACTAGAAGCGGAGGAAGTGCATTGGGATGGAGGGGAGTAAGGGGATTGATTGGTTGGGTCGGAGAGGTAAGAGTGAATACTTAGTGCGTGGCTCTAAGTCGGAGTGGAGGGTCAGAGGTGATGACAAGGTAACTTTTGTCCAGAGAGAGCAAGTCCTATGGAGAATTCCCACTAGTAGTGACTGTGGGAAGACGAGTAATATTAAGACTGAGGAGTAGCTAAGTACATGGTATGTTTTTATATACTTCTATGTAGGAGGCAGTGACTAGTATTCCTTGGTATGAGGCTATGTACTGAGTAAAACAATCTGTAAGTAAAACACAGGTGAAAACATAAGTTGGAGCAGATATCAATATGTACACGTCATATCAGTTAGTCGAGCGGTTATAGGAAGTACCAGTGATCCGGGAAGTAAGTTCTATGTGTCAATGGAGGAAGTATATACCTAAATGGGGAAAGAGGTTACAGTGGAGTGGAGATGATATGGAAGGTAACCGATGAGGTGGTCAAGCGGAAGGGCATGGGTCGATGCAGGAGCCAACTGGATCAAGCAGAGGGCAGACGGAGTGGAGGTGATAGGAAAGTGGGAGGAGTGTAAGGTCGGGCGGAGCAGATATCAATATTGTTGCAGCAGTTGGATCAGGTATATGACAGCTAGGCTGCTTGCCAGAACTTTGGAAAGTGCATTATTGGCCGCTTGATGAGCCAAATCCCAATCAGCCCTAAAAAAAACACTGGACATTAGAAATGACCATAAATTAAATGAGGTTAGTTCACCTTCGTTTGGCAAGTTCATCATGTGTCTTAAAGATATTTTTGCTCTTCATCAAGAAAATGAATGAAATCATCATCAGTTAGTTGAAGCTCATGTTTAATAGCTGTGAGTTCAGTGGTGAGATTGTGAACTACCTTCAGCACTTCTCAATAGTGGTTCCATAAGAAATTACCCATTGGAGTGCTAATCAGCACTGAGCTAAGGCTAAAGTGGAATATACAAACTAAGGGCGGCATATTTGTCTTGATCCCAAAATGAGAAGTGTTCCTCAATAGATTGGTGCCAATGGAAGGAACTGGCATGTCTAGTACTATGAGCAAGCTCATTGGAAGCACAGAAAATGTGTTCACAACCTTTGCCTTCAGTATGTCCTATTCCAGGAATATACATTGGATGCCAATGTAACTGGCATTTACAGTTGTGTGTGTGGCCATTGAAGGCCCCAACCATCATCTGAAACCCAAGATTGTGCACTCAAGGGCCAAAGGAACTATTGCTCAGGGTCTTTGAGAAGGCACATCCAATATCATAAGTACAACCCCCATTCTTTCTGTAAACGGTGAGGAGCTTGTCAATGAGCGTCAATGGATATTTAGCTCTGTTTGACTGATCAACAAACATGAAGCCATGACAAAAATAGACTAACAGCTCGCCACTTTGGACCATGTCACAAGCTAGAAGTATGAAGTGGTGGCATCAAGCAGCAATAAAAATCCCAGACTCATGAAACACAGAAAACATTTTTTATGAGTCACAGGGCTGGCATTGCACCATTGGTCAACACAAGTGAGCATTCCATTAGAAGGGTCAGCACTAGCTTCAACTGGCTCTTCCTCCCAGTTATCATTGTGTGAGTAAATCTGCACAATGCCATCAAAAATTGCTCATGTTAAGTTAGTTGACCTACATCACACAATTTCACTTTGTGTTTATATTTGTCAACGGTTTCAGAATCAACCCAGTAGTCTGAACAAGCTTGACGAGAATCCAATTGAGCAGTGTTCCTAGTGTTGTGGGCAGAAGTCCGCCATTCTGCCAGCCAGTTCTGCCAAACCAGTTCTGCCCGGCAGACAGCAGGATTCTGTGGGCAGAATCAGGCAGAATGTCACACTATGGGGGACCACAGTGAAAGATGTTCTAATAACTTTCTTCACCTTATATGGCCATAATAACCATTTTCGATTGACTTAGAGCAACTGCACTTCCTTATCTGTAGAGTAGAAAAAAAATCCAGTTGTACAGCCTGTACTACATAGTCAATCTACAATTGCACAATGTCTGCTGCCGCACTCGCTGGATGCCCTGTCTCATCCATCATAACCAACAATTTTAATCATGGCGAGAAGGTCGACAACAAATCTGGACACTACTACTGGTCCTGCAAACACTGTCCAGATGCTCTTCGCATCCAAGGTTGTGACAACCAACTCCCAAACCACCTTATTCACAAGTGTAAAGCATGTCCTGCGGAAATACGAAAACAGGTGCGCATGTTTGTTATGGGCAAGGCCGGTGGAGAAGATGCCATAGAATTCATTAATTCTGATAAGATTGATGCCTCTCCTACCCCACAAGGCAGTTCAGAACTGGTTGTGCTTGGTAAACGCCAAAAAAAGTGCACTTTGAATGGCTTTATGGATTACCCCCTGACAAAGGAGCAGCATTCTCGTGCAAATGTCAAGCTGTTGCAGTAAGTACGGCTCTATCAGTCAATCAATGATACTCAAAGCGTAATGAACTGGCTTTAGGTTCATAATTGATGCTAATATAGCTTTTTCCATGGGCGAGAATGACTACTTCCTTGAATTCCTCAATGAGATTCGACCATTATATACGGCACCTTCCCGATATGTGCTATCACACACACTGATGGACACTGAATCAGTGCGTGTCCAACAAGAAGAAATTGACTGGCTCAAAGTATGAAACCGACTCACTCTTCTGCTCGATGGTTGGGAAGACATGCTGAAGAGAAGTCTGTATGGGTCAGTTGCAGCTGAGGTGAAGCAGCTTCCTGTGGTCCTCGCTCTTGAGGACATGACTGGCAGCCAAGGTACCGCAGATAACCTGCTCATTGCATCAAAAAAGGCAATGAGGACCATGGAGATTGATGATGGAAAGCGAGTCATAGCTGTGACGACGAACAATCCCACCGTTATGCAGGCTTTCCGCCGAAAATTTCAGGAATCTTACTTTTGGGTTCTCATAAGTGTTGTCTTCCCTGCAGACTTTGTCGTGGTTTGATATGTCAATAATATAGACATTCCCATGTTTCCTCCATAGCTTAAACACCCTCATCAGTGAGATATGCTCGTTCCCACTGATGAAGCAAATTGTATCAAAGTCGACACGTATTGTGAACTTCTTCAATTCATCTCACTACTGGGGTGGGCAACTCAATGGTGAAGCAAAGAAGCAGGGTATCAATTGGAAGATGAAACAAAACTGCGAGTCTTGATTTTATGCACTCATGTTACAAAGCATGAGCGTCCTTGCCTACCGGTAGGTCAATTTCAAACTTGATGTTCATATCCTGACAAAACCACACCTACAGGAGTCCACTGTCGCATACATGTTTGCGTCCCGATGCCCAGAAAAGAACCAACAATCAGACGCCAGTTGCCCCTGCAGTTGTTGCAACGGTACTCCATGATGTTCAGTACTGGAAACTGCTCGATCAGCTCATGAAGACAGTTAAATTCTTGGTTGACACAATCGGGAACTTGGAGTCACATGAAGCTACACTTGCTGATTGCATGTTGGAGCTTATCTGCTGTGCAAGGCAGATGTCCCAGCTGAAACTCGATGCTGAGGATGATGACACTGGCTTCTGGATGCACGCAAAATCTGTTTTCAACTGTCGGTTCCATGCAATAAACACTGACCTCCATTCTCTCGCACTCTTCCTCCATCCAATGTGTCGCAAACTTGCTGTGACAGATGCCTCAAAAGGAAGACCATTCGATTTCATGGTTAAAACTGCACTCGCCGTCGCTAAACAATAGCAATGGGAAGAGCAAAAGGCCAAACTGCTCGTCGATGACCTCAAAGCATATAATCTGTGTCATGCACCATTTTCAGGTGGACATGCCGATGGATTAGCATGGTGGGAAAGTCTCACAGTCAGCGCTAACAGACATCCTCTGAAAGTACTTGCAATCACACTCTTATCCATCGTTCCCCACACTGCTGATGTTGAATGCCTCTTCTCGGATATGGGTAGCACTCAGTCTCCGAAGTGTTGCAATCTCTCAGTCGACACATTCGAAGCACTGGCGAAGATTCGAGCAAATCTTCGCTACCGCAGTCATCAAAAGGCCGTGGTTAATGGCAAACCAATTCATCGACATCATGCACACATGCACACCAGTGCCCAGCCAGGCATCAACATTGATGTAGCTGCTGATCTAGAAGTCAATTTTGCATGGGCGCCACCACTTCCACCTCAGACTCAGAACCTCGATGATGATCTTGCAGGTCCTGAATCTATATCACTCAATGAGATCGACGCTGCATTTACACTACTGGAACACGAGAAAGAAGCCATGGAACGAGTGCTGGTTGACGGAAATGAAGTGTTGGAGGGCTGAGTTTATGATTTTGCAGAATTGGAGCATGTCGACCAAGGTCTTGCACCGAAATCTGTCGATGACGAGATAATGGTAGTTGATCACACCTCACACAACAACAGACTGTGGGATGTGGATGCGCTGATGTGTTCTAATGGTGTTTCCTAGTGACGCTTACCATACATTGTCATACACATAGCCTTGTAGCGCTTTGAAAATTTTGCCAACCAGCAGAGGTGGCGATTCTGCCACTTCTGCAGGTTATGCTGGCACAATTGCCCGCAAATAATTCTGCCCCCAGCACTAAGTGTTCCCATAGATGGAGGAATCCCATCTCTTTAAGCTATTGTTTCCATCAACACACACAAGCCAATCAAAATCAAGGGTTGGCTCATACTGGAGTTTATAGAAGCAAGTGGGACAGGAATTAAGTAAACACCAATTGGGAATGTTGTGTTTGAGCGCCGCCTGGAGGCGCTGGTCAATGTGATGAATAATTTCCAAATAAATATCATAAGTGGCTGAGAATTTCATATTGAGGTAGGGCTGATAAGGAATCTACCAATTACATATCAATAGACAGGCTGCTGAGAGTATTGTCCCATACATACATCATGAAGGAAACAAAGTGTCCTACACTGTGCCTGGATACTGAAGCAAGGACAGGCTCAATGAGATTGCCGGAAGGCAGCAAGAGTATGGAGTGAAATGGCAACAGTGGGGCACATTGGAGCACATCCAATGTAGCCATGACAGACAAGTGTCTTGTTAGGGAACCTGTGCGACACTATTGGTTGGAGAGAGGAGCAGTGCTGCCCTATGGGAGAATGAAATAATGCTTCGAAATGGTGCAAAGATACTTACTGAAAATATCAATAAGCTCAACGTTGTTGAGTGAAGGGCAGTCTGTCATGTCCATGTCCAAAGGTGGGACTGAGGGCAAGTCTTTGGAGTTTGGCATGCCATTGCCAGAATCTTGAGCACAGTAGTCAAGATAGGTGTCCACAAGGAAGTCGATCTGGAGATTCCAATGAGAGGTCTGATCTTCTGTATGGTCTTGGCGAATGCAAGAATCTATGTAGTGACGGTACTCAAGTATAAGCAAGATATGTAAGGATTGTTACGTGAAACCTCTCGGATGAGATCCAGCGGCGCTAAACCCAGCAAGGGGTCTTTGTAGCATGGCTTTCAGTGCTAGCCCAGCAAGGAGCTTGCCTGCACTTGGTCTGAGTAAGGATTGATATCCTTACTTGCATAGAGTCAATAGGAATTCTCAAGGATACAATCCAAGAGAGTGGGGTTTCTAACTTGAGAGTATTGTCTCAAGAGAAGATGGTTCTTTGCAAAGAGGGAGTTCTCTTAGGTAAGAGAAGTTCAGACCCAAAGACAAGTGTAAGATGAGAACCGAGTAGATTCAAGTTAGAGAATCTATCTATGAGATGACTGGTATATATATGTAAGTGACTGTACCGGTTGAGCAGTAAGGGTACAGGGTAAGCGGAGGTAGTGCTGACACAGTGGTAAGGGTCAAGGGTCTGTATGAGTCACAATCAAGAAAGGGTAAGAAGTACTGGTTGAATGGTAAGGGTAAGTGTAGGGCATATGGTTAGATAGAAGCAGCAGCTTCTGTGATCCAGGGGAAGAAGCAAGAGCTTCTCATGTTTCAAGACAATGCAATCAAAAAGAAAGAAGATATAAATGGAAATGTAACCATGGTCCAGGTCTAGATGAGTCTGCACAGTTTAGCCACATGTTGGTGGTCGAAAGAATGAAGAAAATGAAATAACATGTAACACTCATGTTACTGTAACAAGGATGAAGCGAATAGGACTTACTATCCACCAATGTCGGCCACTGGATGTGCCAGTCCTTCAAATGCTTTGTGTTCCCCACCTGCATGACTCGTATCAAAACCTTCCTTCTCCAGGAGGAGCAGTGGATGGTAGTGCCTTGACATCCATGCCATGGTTGCCAATCATGGTCTCCACTGTGTTGTGGTCCTCTGCAGACACTGTTGCAAAAATTATAGTGAATGGGGTGAAAAGTGATTGGGAAAATGTACCTTGTATTTCAGCCTGGCAGCTGGTATCCACTACCATCCTTCAATGCTGTTGTTTGCCAGCTGCAAGGACCTCTGATCGATGATTGTGTCCTTGAAAGTTGTGGGAAATGACTGACTTAGACAGCCCAGTAACCTTGAAAGCAGTAGAGCCACGAGGCATGACAGGCATTGATGATGTGTATAAGGGCTGATGGTGGGCTATGTCAACAACAGTAGTTCATGCACTGGGAAAGAATGGGAAAGAATTGGAATGGTGGGGTCCCCTTGTAGGTGCACATCTGTGTATATGGTGGGGTTGTGTTAATGGGTGAGCAGAAGGTACCCAGAGGGTGGCAACAGCGGATAGCAGACAATGTGGAAGAGGGCAAGGAGCGTGAGAATAGGGTGGTTTGGGGGATAGCCCTTCTAGGCGCAGGCAGGAGGGGTGCGGGAAGGCTTACATATGTTTTTGATAGACTCTGAATACACACCCAACCCTAATAGCTATAGGTACAAAGGTTGAATAGGTGAAGGCCATAGGTAATTTGGGGCAGCATTTAATGCTGGTGTTTGGTTTTAGCACAAATGAGCCTAATCAGAGTTGCCGAGCCACGTAATCATCAAGTATAATAAGGCTTCCAAACTGGCAACCCAGGTGCAAATACTAACTCTTAGTAATCAGATACTCAAGGACACCACCTTGTACTTTTCCCATTCTACACCAAACCTGCCAATGGTGATCCCTGCCATGGATCACATCAACAGCATTTTCACAAGCAGCATGATCAAGATGCACCAGCTTGACCCTGCAATCCATGCTGGCCTTGGACTGGCAAAACAGACCCTCAATTAATACTACTCACTGACTGATGTGTCGAAGGCTTACCATATTGTGATGGATGCATACTAATGTTTTCTTTTTTTTTCACTAAACTAATGATGTTGTAGTTCTCCATCCCTCCCACAAGCTAGCCTATTTCTGGGCTGCAAGCTGATAACAAGAATGGATCGACACTACCAAGGAACTTGTACATTCAGAATTTAAGCACTCATATGCTTCTGGTTCAGTGGCCGAGGAGTCCCCTAGTGATTTGGTAACTGAAGACATTGACAAGGTGCATACTAATACTTGTCATTCTGTGTTGTGCTACTAACTAGTACACACAGGATGACAATGCAAGCAACATCTTTGATTGCCTACCAACACTTGCATGTGTCAAGACCCTTGCCAGTGCCAACAAACTCAAAATGTACCTCAACACTGATGTTGAAGACATTGGAGATGTGATTGCCTGGTGGTGCAGACACTGCAAGACTTACCCCTGTTTATCTTGGATGGTGTTGAATTATCTCACTATTCTGGGTACAGTTGCTCATGTTTTTTGTTTTGTTTTTGCTTTAACATGTCTCTGCAGCAACATCTGTTGACATTGAACAGATTTTCAGCCGAGGGCAGCTACTTCTATCACACGTCCAAAACTGTCTTTCTGCCCAGACCACCCAAGCTCTACTTTGTGTAGGATTATGGAGCCAATTAGGATTAGTAAAAGATACAGACATTAATTCAGTGGCAAGCCTCCCAGATGTGGATGGGGAGGATGAGGAACTTGACAATAGATGAGATAGCATTACCCTTCGTTAAAATTTTACTACTACATTGTTATTACAGCAAGCTAGAGACTTGACAGGTATATGTATACCCATGGTACCCATTACCTGTGAATGACCCTTGTATTGACCTGCACCCCTGAGGACCCTTGGGTAGATGGGTATAGGTAGTTGATGGGTGCGGGTGCAGGTTGAGGTTGTTGCACCCACAGGTTTACCCCTGTTGAACCCTAGTAGTGGTACAGGGTGTGACATAATAATAGGTATGTATCAGTAAGCACATGCATAAATAATGAGGCATCTGAGTAATACTGAACTAAATATAGACCAATAAGGGACATGCATAGTAAGTGTGTATCAAGGGATAGAAAGAAAAAGAAGTTCATAGAAGCACAACTGTAACAAGTAGGTACCAAGAGTAATGAGGCTATTTGGGCTGAAAACCCAAAGGGTTTTATGACTCAAAACAACATTTTGACCCTGCACAAAGGGTCCAGGGTGAGCCATGAGGGTGGGTGGGCCTCAGAAGCTCACAAGTCGGAATTTTGGTGGAAATTCTGTGGTTGAAAGTGTTGTGTTGAGTGTTTTTGGTGGGAATATTATATGACACAGTTTGGTGCAAGACACTTAATACTGCTGAAAGGGTGTGGTGGGCAGGTGCAATGAAATGAGAGTGGAGTCAAGCAGAAGAGAAGTTGCAAGTGGTACGTGGTTGTATGAGTCAAGAAAGATGAAGTCACAACTTGAAGAAGCTGTGTCCCCATGTAGACCTCATTCTATGTGAATTCTCATGCCTTGAACTTACATAGAATATAATCTCTGTCAAGGTGAAGACAGGAGAGTGATCAACTGATGCTGAAATACCTGTGCAAGGATTTCAATGGAGTATTATAATTGGGACAACTTGTGCTAAGGAATAGGATCACATATACTTAAATTAACCACCCGTATCCACTCTCTTGAAATTGCTTTTTTCAGACAGTGAAATAGGATGAACGTACAGAGGTTCAGCAAATACTAAATACAACCCCTCAACCTGCTCTCACTGATCAAACAAAGAGTCTGGTTTGTTTTTGGTCACTTCCCCTCCCCATACAATGAGAACGCTGCTTACAAACCCATCCACAGCAAAGGTGCTTCTCCACCCATCTCAACGAGAATCGCGCTCAAATTGCGCTTATTGCAGGTACCGTACAAATAATTCCGCACTGTTCTGTTTCGTGGACCTGACCTCCAAAAAGATAAAGATACAACTCTCCCGATTCAGAAGTAATGGATATTGCAGAAAGTTTATGGCCATAGCGAGGGAATGGTGGATGTGAATGTGAACTTGGCGTTGCCCCACCAGGCTTAGGGAAAATGGAGGGAAGGGAGGAATAAGCGCTGTACAGACCATGGATAAGCTGACAGCTGTTGAGGCTGGCGCAGTTGTTATGTTATTATCATGGTGGGGCTCGCTTGGTATTGTTGAGCGAGAGCCGCCGCAGAGCCATTCATGGTATTTGAACATAGTATTTGCAGCCAGCGACCAATTTGATTGTCGCAAAGACAGCAAATGATGAACAGCTATGATAGGGACGTGTCGATACGTACGAACGACTCGTGGATCATCCCGTAGGTGTAGGTATTGAACAGCATTCTCCTTCGCAACCATTGACAACTGTGCCTGGCCAGAGGTTGGCTTGGGGTGACGGATCAAGGAGCGAGCTGTGCGCTAGGTAGCCTAGGCTGTGTATTCTTCGAGAAGAACATTAATATTCTTCGCGCTCTGTTTCCTGCTATCATAGGACCTAGAATGCTGAATGGCGGTAGAGTAGAAGGACGTGGCCTTAAGTAGGCCCGATATAATTCCAATGGCGATTTACCGCATAAACTTCGGGCTGAACCGGCTCACAAAAAACGGTGAAGACGCTAGTCCGATCAACTGTCTGACAGCTTCTGACAGCTGCGCCCAAGGCAATCCAGGTGATTCCAATTCCAGTCGATTAGTATATTTGGGATGGGGTGACCTGACGAACCTCGATACAGTGATATTCTTGAATCTTCGCGTACAGGATGTCATAAGTCAACTTGTGGCCGCCGGGAAGGAAGGAAGTGGAAAAAATCCCACCAATCCTCTCATCCTCTTCATCATGCAATCAGAAACAAAAATGACAGAAAAACGAAAACATTGCTCCCGGCATGCGTAATACCTGGATAGAGCATACAGTTACCATTTCCTACACCATCCAGGTATCAACTTAAGTATATCATGCTTCGTAGGGGGGTCTAACCAATGGCAAGGTGCGAACCTAGAGAGCGAAGAGTGAAGGGCAGTCCTGTCCCGAGTGGAAATGCAGCAACGCCAACTACAAGGATGTCTTCGAGGCATATAATATTAGTGTAGGTGGCGGCGCTGCGACATCGACGGGCGCCCGATATGTAACACCATCAAGAGGAACTACCCATGAAGATATTCCATATCGGGCTACCGTCACATGGATCCGCACAAGTCCCGAGTGAATTGGGGATGCACACTTGGTAGCGGTCTAGGTCACGTTTTTTCTTGCAAGTGACTGGGAGGAGTCAAAAAGGCAGAACTAGAAATGTCAACAGTACCGGTACGTGGTGCGTTTATGGAGTATCATAGACCTTGTGGTGTTCCGGGACTGATGCAGACAGCTACGAAAATGGCGTCAGGTAGGGACTTGAAAACGAAATTGAAGGCACTCACATCGATAACAAATCATATCAACTGTTGTGACGTACGGGAAGAGGTAAAGGCAAGTCGCGTACTCGGCGAGGTTAAAGTTAAACTTAATCTAATCCCCGAGACCATTGGGAGATGTGATGCGGACAAGTCGAGCCGTACTAGTACTGCTAGACAAGAACCAGAATAAGCGAGCGGACACTCGACATTGGAAGGGAAGGAAGAGCTGATCGTAAGTCAAGGGAGGAACTTCCAAGTTCAAGATCTAGCACTGAGCGACTGGCTTGATCCAATGACATACGGAACAACGATAACAATCGATACATCTCGTTCTTTGCAACGAAGTGTCGTTGACGGACATGTTGTTTTGCATGGTGAGTTGAACCTCGATAGATAGACTGACATTCTACGTACAGGGATAGAGTAAGTGACTTGTGACTGCCAGGAAGCAAGGGGAAGGAAGGAATCCCACCCACCCTCTTCATCATGCACCTGGAAACGAAAACGCTGCTCCCAGTATGCTTATTACCTGGATATGGAAGAATGTTCTGAATACATACTTTCTAAATCCAGGCACCAA